CAGAGTGAGACTCCGACTCAAAAAAAAAAAACAAACCAAAACAAAACAAAAAAACCCCCCTCCTTTAATCCCTGAGCCAATGCTTCTCCGCATCAGCCCCCTGCTCACCTCGGCAGGGGTTCTAGCTCAGGGCCCCTTGGGTCCCTGCGCCATCGGCCGCCTGTGGGGCTGAGAGCGGGTGTGCCTCCTGCCCCTGGGGAAGGAAAGGGGTGAGGAGGAGACCCGGGGCTAGGAGGCTGGGGAGCAGCCTGGTGAGAAGGGCGCGGGCCTGAGAAGCAAAGTTGGAGGCCAACCTCGGCGGGTGGGCCATGGCCACGCCGGGCCTCTCGGCCTGCCTGTCAGTCGAGTGAGCCAGTTCGCGTCATCTGTGCAGTTTGACCCTCAAGAGCACGGCACCCTCCGCGTTCAGCTCGCCAGGCTGGACCACAGGCCCGAGAGGATGGAGGGCCGGCGGAGGGGCTGGCAGGCGCCTGTGCTCACGGGAAGGTTGACACCCACATGGTGGCGCCGTGTGTTGGGAAGGGAGCAGAGGGGGCCTCGCCCTCCTGCCTCCTGCTCTGGGGGAGGGCGGGGGTAGGAAGCCAAGGATCCCCCCAGCGAAGCTCCCTGAGGCTCTGCTGCCATCCTAAAGTTGACCTGAAGGCCAGGTTCGAGAGGAAAGACCCAGAGAAAGTCCATTCATGGAAGTGGTTTCTCGATGTCACAGAGACCAACTGGTGCATCAAACAATGTGGTGTGTACCCAGCAGTCCCGGCCACGGTTCCCTCCATTGAGGACCTGGGCACGTGTGTGAACACTGGGACCCGGTCAGGCACGGAGGCGACATGAAGACTACACTGGCACAAAGGATGTCGCTCTTGAAACAGCCTTAGAACTCTTGCTTGTGCAGATAAGGACGAGACAGGGTGGACGAGGAAGCCTGATGAGAAAGAATAACAGGAAAAGAAACCGCGGCCTATGGGAAGGACACGCATATTCCTCAAACTTCTTTACATGATCTTTTCTTTCCAGCCATCCTATGAACAAGAAACTATGATTACAGTACTACTGATGAGGAAATGCACATTTCTGAAAGACATTTCCTCTCTCTTTGGGTCTCTGCCCCTGAGATTTCCTTAGTCAGATAGGTGTATGGAATCCTCCCACCCCATATTGAAGCCATGTTTCTGGGGCCCCAAGATGACAGCTCTTTCTTCCAAAGGCCCCTCTGGTGTGACGTGAGCCAGAATTTTGCATCCTTGCCCCATTCACAACCCTTGGAGCATATGATGTTAACATTTTATGTGGTCTCCTCTCTCTGTTTTCCACCCACTTACATGCAGTGACTGTAGTCTAATTCCTTCCTGTCACAAGGCATTCTGAGCAACAGATACTGAATACGTGTTTCAATGGCATCTAGAAATGTCAAGTTTACCACTCTCTGAGGCTCCAACATGCCTCTCCATGTGCCTGCACGGGAATAAAGTTAGCTCTTACATGCAAAAGGTTCTCCTGTGTTTCATTTTCACAGAATACCCCTTTTCCTCAGATTGAGGAGGGCAGGATAACAGAGAAAGGTATTTCCTCAAAGGTCTAAGAGGCCCCGGGGCCTTTGCTTCCTAAGATAGTTCTGTAGGACTGACATGGTCTGAACCCCAAAGCCGCCTGGCGATAAGGATATTCTGCATTGCGCAGGCATTGCAGACAGGGCTTCTGGTGCTTGCCACTTGACAGAGTGGACATCATATCGGCATCATCTGTTCAGTCGCCGTCTCTGCGTCTGCTTCCCTCCACGGGACCAGTCTCCTTGGGCTGTCTTGCTCACCCCCCACCTAGCAACAGGAGCCTCTAGCATCTGCTGCTCTGCGTGCCCGTGCCCGGCAGAGCCAGGCAGCCAGAACCCTTGGGGATGTTACACTCTTTCACAGTAAGGAAACTGTAACTATCGAAGAGTCACAAAACTAGGAAGTGGAAGACCCAGGATTCATGCCCAGGTCTCTTGGCCTGAGAGCTGGTACTTCTAGTACTTTCCCCCCACACGCCCACTGGCCTCCAGCGTTCAGCTCATCTGCCTGCTCCATCCACAGAGGCACTTGGGCCTTCACTCTCTCAGGTGGGCCTGTTTACCAGTGGCCAGGCCTTTGGATCACCTGGGGACAAGAATACTCTCCAAGGGTTCTATGCAGATCGACTGTGAATTTATGGGATGAATACTTTGAAGAAAGCATCAGAGGTTAGGCAACGTAAGCTAGGTGTGGCAATAACGAAAAGGTTATGGCCATCTTCTATGACAAACCTCAAAGAAACAGCCCTGCTGGGTGAAGACAGACTCAGGGGAGAGGCAACGGTTTCTGAAAGCCTTTAACCCAGTGGTAAGTTCAAGGTTCACAAGACGTCCGCTGTCCACGACTGAGGAAGGAGCGGCTGTTGGGGTGAGCCTGCCGGCAGGCCATCACGGGCCCGCCCAGCCAGGGATGAATGAAGCTCTGTGCTCCTGGAAAGCAGATGTCTGTGAAACCAGCTGAGCTGCTCTGAGTTCCTCTTAAGCAGATGTTCCCATGGGAGGATCAGAATCGCCTGGTAACTGTTTCCCCAAATATGTCGATAGAGTTGGCTGTTCCTGCGATGAGGAAGGAGGATATCATTCACTCTGCAAATGGCTCCCGGGTGATCTGGCCCCACGCCCTCTCCTGGCCGGGCTAGGAACTGCAGCGTGTCATGAAGCTGCCCACCACCCTGAGCTGAGGCCTCCTTGCCCGCCTCTCCTTTGGGGCCCTCAATCAAACAGCAACTCCTTTGCCTCTGTGGGTGGGAGCCAATGTTCTTCTTATGCGTGGCTAAAAGCAAGGAGCTACACTCTCGGCCTTTTGTGCAGTGTTATTCTGATAAGTTGAAAAGTCAAGAGTAATCAAGCCCCACCCGCCAGCTCTGGGCCTGCTGGGGAACTGGCCGGCCCTGGAGCTGCAGGCCGGTATGGGTCTTACCCGCACAGACAAGAAACGGAGGCAAGTTAGAGCCTGGGCCACGGACCCAGAGAGGGCACCCTTCCTCTTAACACACGAGGGAACCGAGGTCCAAAGACGACAGCGTAGCATCCCTTGAGCACGTGTCATGCTCACCCGTGACACTTGACACATGCCTGAGCCCAGACCCGCAGGAGGGTCCGACCCAACAGCTCTGGAGTGGATTCTTTGCCTGTGTGCATGACTCTGGGTCGGGTGTTAAGGTGACTTGCCTGGGGCCACTGCAGGGGCAGCGCCTGGCATGTACAGCCTTCCTTCCCACCATACCATCATGTCTCTCTGAAGAAAATGAGTTTGAAACAACATAGTATTCATTTCCCAATATTCACAGTCTTCTAAGAAGTCCTGTCACCACAAAACCTTCCTAATAAACTGACTGCTGCTGACAGGAAGTCCAGGTCCCTTGGACCTCCAGGCTTTCCTGCCTATACTGGACTTCGGGGCCAGTGGCTGGCCACGGAGGAGCCAGGGGCTTACACGGCAGCTCTCCACCAAGGCCTGAAGGACAGGTCTTCCATGGGGGACACTGCAGGCTACAGTCCCCATGATGAGTCTGGTGCCCCTGCCCTGTTGCCCCAACAAAATTAAAATGAATGTCCCGTCCTCTGCTGCCACTCTGGCCTCTGCTAGAGGGATCAGGAAATGACCAGAGGAGGCTGAAAGAATGAATCTGTTTCCAAAACAATGACCTGGCAGGCCCTAGTGACAGGGCAGGCAGGGTAAGGTCCCATGAGGCCTGGGAACCGGGGGCTGTGAACCACGTCCTAGAACGCCAGCCTCACGGGACAGGTGACGGCCTCTGACCAGTGACCTGTCCGATTAGCATGCCAGTCGAGGAGGCTTTTAGCATCACGCTAAAACCCCACGTTTCTTGAAGGCGTAAACAAAACACGCTGGATTAGACTAAATACCACTGCACTGAATATGGATTCACATTGTGCTGCCACGTGACCAGTTTTATAATCATCCTTTCAGAATCTCTCCCAAGCAAGTGGATCACAAATAAGTACACCATACTCTCAAAATTGACATTACAACCTGCTCTTATTACTGAGCAATCTGGCAAGTGGATGCCTGAGTATCACGTGTGGGCTATTACTCAGCGCCCCTCGCTTCCAGAAAGTCCTCCTGCCTAGTACTCAAATCTTGCCTGAACATGTGAGCCAGGCAGACGTGCACAAGTGTCCCCACCACTCCCCTTCAGCCAGTGCCAAATGGCAACAGTCCTGACCCTCTGAAACGATATGACCTGTTTGACAGGGAAAATTATTGGACTTTCAGTTAAAAACCAAGTTCAGAACCCCAGAAAAGTAAAAACAAAACACACTGGACCTCATACATGTTTCATATACATATTTATATATATCTCATGTACAAAGTTACATTCCGAACCCCAGGGATTCCATAATAGAAATAAATACTGAAATAACTACATTGCTAAATGAGCTTTCTGCTCATAGAAATGAAGCCTCAGCCTCTAAGAGACAGCAAGTGGAACATTCTAGAACCCATTTTTCAGATTATAGAGGCAAGTAAAATTTTGATAAAATGTCTTGGACAAAAGACAAATTTAGAACATAAAATGGTTAAAATATATTCAAATATTGAGAAATATATGACAAAATTAATAATAAAATGTAATTTTTCAAGAGAAAAGAAAGACAGTTAGTGTTACAGAAGAGCATAACCCTGTTAGAAAAGCATTTACAATTTCCACATTTAGTTTCCTCTCCTGCTCTTCCCATGTTACAAAGTGGGACCAAACGAGGCCCTTTCTCATCATGATCAACTAAGAAGAGCCCTCCACCTGGTTGAGTCCTTTGGTAACCGTCATAATACTCACAAGGAAATAAATATTCAGCTCCATGACATTTGCAAGACACATGTTCTTAAGGACAGTTAATATTCTGAGGCGTCTCGTCTTGCTTTATTGTTACTAAGGCAGCCTATGTTAAAGGGTTTAGTCTCAAATGTAGGAAGACCTTTACAACTGAGAGAATGTTTTTTAACTTTTTCTATGCAAACGCAATCTGAAAAGTTATGCGCTGCATATTTTGTGCTCAAAATGTTTTTATGCTCCCAACAAGCTGCAGCTATTAAGAGAGTCATTCCTATTTTTAAAAATTAGATCTCCTGGAGCATCTTCTCCCCTTGCCTCACAGAGACTTTAACCTGCATCTAACATTGTTTGGTTGAGGCACTATGATATTGTCCCTCTGTAGACCAGCAAGTTGAACACTGGCAACTTCATGTTCAACTTCATATATAACCTGAGTGTAGCAAATGAAAAGTCTCAGGTACCCTTTATTCCTTCCAATGGGGGTTCATTGTTTTACGTGGAAAGATCAGCCCAAGGTACTCAAGCCTCTTCTCTGCCCCTGGCGTGGTCGCGACAGGCAGCTTCCGCTCCTTTGCTGCTTGCGAGAAACTTACACTTTGGCATTTTTTTCCCAAAGTTACCACTTTGACCAAAATGAACATTACAAGAAGGGAAAGTGAAGTAATCTGTAGAAAATGTTTAACTGAAATTACAAGCATAAGGTCAAGCCTTTAAAACAAAGTTGCACGAGCATTTATGTTCTCTCATCCCTGAAGTTAATTAACAGGGCCACAGATAATCTGACATCTTTAGATAGAAAAACTACACATCTAGATTCCTTAAGTTAAAGCCAGTAAATTCAGAAGGAGCAATTACAACCATTGTACATGTTTGCATGTTGCAACTTTAATTCCTGATTTCCTAAGTCACAATCAGTCACACAAACATAGCTGACAACAGCAAGTGGGGGCTGACTCTGGGATGTTTGCTTCTTGAGATGACAACTCCCAAGCACTTTGGTGTCTCTCGTGAATTTATATATTTCCAATAAATGTTTCCTAATGCTTTTTAAAGGTTTTGCCAAAAATGGCTCCGATTTAGAGTAAAATAAAAATATAGCAAACAAGCTATGTTAAAGTAGCCTAAGTTTTGGTGCCCTTAAGAAAAGTGACTATGCTGCTCAGGTAGAAAGTTATTCTTTTAATACAGTTTTTACTGAAAGTTTTTTCTTTTAACACAAACTGTGGCCACGATGCTATTGTGCACACAATGTGCTTACAGACACGCGTGACCAAATGGGTCCAAAGGCTTCCTCCACCTCATTAACCCGGTGCACTTTATAACCTGGCCTTGTCATGCATGCGCATAAAAGTCACCGGTGTACTTTTCACAGGCATCTTTGCATAATAGTTCAGGAAAAAAATCCATGGTACTTAGGAATGCTTAGACACTTTGAGACATGTATTTGCTTTCTTTTCTTAAAAGTTGTTCTGATGATGGGGGGGCTTTTGTCCTATAGATTTATATTTTTAAAACAGTACATAAAATTATATTTACCTTTGCTTAGCGAAATGGGCAAGAAAGGGTAAATCTCACATTTTCAAGAAGCTGGAGAGGGAAGAAAATACTGCAGCGTCATGGTTTTAAAAAAATGTATTAAACAAGAAAAGCAGCTAAATCCAGACTCTGATCTGTTTTTTTCAAATGGTCATTGTCAGTGGAAAGACATAAGTCAACCTTTACTTTATGGTATCTTCGCTTTGTCTTTTTCCCCTTCATAGTTTTCCCTTTTGAACATGGCATTTTAAGCTCAAAAGGGCACAAAAGCTTAAATGTGTTATTTATACACAAAATACCAAGTATATAGCTGCTCTGTAGTTTATACAGAACAACAACAACAACAATTTTATAATTAAATCCCTCCTTCTGTTAAGCCAGACTCCATCACTACTACAAGCTTTGCTCTTATTAATAGGTCAGAGCAGTCCAGGAACATTTGGCAAACAGGTGAGTTTTTTACATGGAAAAAAATCAACCTTCACCATCCTCTGGTACAAGAAATACAAAACACAATTTCCTTTTAAAAAATCCTCCCAGTGCTGAAGCATCTTTGAAGCTTTATAAATAACAACCCTTTCAGACATGTCAGTATGAAAATGAAAGACTCATCTAAAAAAAAAAATCAGAATATTCAGAGAAGCAGGCCTCATAAACTTTAGAGCTCTAAGTCAGAAACAGGAAATGTTTATTTAAATAGTGTAGTCTTAATTTCTTTAATATAAAACCCCCCCAAAATCTGATGAAAACAAAGTTTTATATACCATATAAACAAGATTTGTCAGATTTGAAAGTGAAAATTAAAGTAATTTACAGTTAGCTTTTAGCCCTCTCGGGACATTTAGATAAATCCTGATAATCCACCTGATATTAGTTTGTGTCAATTTTATAATACACTGGGGGAAACTTTGCAATTGTACTTCACGGTACAGTTTCATTTATCAAGTGTTTTCCGTTAATTCCATTATTAGTGTCAGCTAACAAGTGACCCCGTCATCAAATCAAGTGAGTGACATTAGACTGTGGCAGAGTAGACCACATCTGGATTGCTTTCCATAATTCACCAGGTTGCAGAAAGGAAACATTCTTTGATTTGTTCATAATATACTGAAATTGCCTATAACACTGGTGCAGTAAAACAGCTAGTTCCTCTGTATTGTTATGGCAGAACAGATTTTGTAATATAAAGTTAACAAGAAAAAATGCCCACACATGATGTGTGAAACTGATTTCACAAAAAGAGCATTAAATAAAAGGTAGAAGGGAAAAGAAACCATGCAGAAGAGACGGCTGCCCCATCTCCACCTGTCTCCCAGCGCTCACTCACTGCCATACATCACTTGCCACACGATCAAGTGACTCCTTTCTGCTTTGGTGACAGAAGGTTCAAGTGGAAGATCCTCTCCAAGAAGCTCTGATTCTCCACCTTCGTCACCTAGTGGGTGATAAGAAGATCAAGTCAGGTGGAGCACAGAAAACCCAGGACTATGGCTCAGACAGGGCACCCGGGGTTAGTTTGTGAACAGGACACACAAAACGTGTCTGACTGCCATTGCAGAGCAAACAGTGAGAGAAATAGTAGGAGTCAGAATTCACCCACGCTGTTGCTTGACTTCACTTTTCAGACCACACTGGTAAGACTGAGTTCACTGTACTATGTCGGAAGTCATCCAGTACGTCTACATGCTGATGTCATGTATATGGGGAGTGGAGACGGCAAAGCTAGTCAATTCTATGTTCATCCAAGAGGGGCAGAGTCTATAGTCGTTTACTTCAAACTAAGAATTGAGCCTAGATAGTGCTGTAGAAAGCATGAGCATGGTACGGAGCACACAAACTAACTAAACCCAAATAACTCATGCTTATTATCAGTAACAGGTATAATATTCTCCAACTGAAGAGATCTGATAAAGCATATGAAAACTCAAGTGATCTTCCTGCAGCCCTACAGATGGCAGATTCATCTCCTACTATCCTGGGTTTTTCTTCCAATGATTTTCAAGTTTAGGATGGGTGATGAATTAAGAGCATATGGAAGAGGCTGACAGCAGTGGCTCACGCCTGTAATCCCAGCACTTTGGGAGGTGGAGGTGAGAGGACTGCCTGAGTCCAGGAGTTCGAGACCAGCCTGGGCAACATGGCGAGACCTCATCTCTACAATAAATAAAAAAAATTAGCTAGGCGTGGTGGTGCATGCCTATGGTTCTAGCTACTTGGAAGGCTGAGGTGGAAGGATCACCTGAGCCCTGCAGGTAGAGGCTGTGGTGGCTGTGAGCATGCCACTGCCCTCCAGCCTGGGCAACAGAGTGAGGCTCTGACTCAAAAAAGAAAAGAGTGTATGCAAGAAAGAAACAAAGAGGCTGGGCAGCAGCCAGGCTACAGGTTCTTCTGGGAGGTGGCTGAGTGACTGTGAAGAATGGGACCCTGATCAAAGGTACTGGCTTCCAAGGCCCAGGGGGCACAGTACACCCCTCTGCAGGGCCCACTGCAGGGTAGGCATACTTTTCTCCACAAACTTGCATGAATTACGTTTGTCGTTACAGAGCAGGGTTATTTTGGGACAATCCAAGTGACTGTCTGGTGGGATGGATTCTTCAGCAGAATCCTAAAACATGTATACCAAGGGCCCTAAAGATATTCCCCTGGTCTACTGGAATTTTGTTATGTGCCCCATGTGAATTTCAGCTGGACAAAAGAAAATATTGATACTGTTGACAAGAAACAGCAGGAGAAAAAAAACCCTACATATCTGCATTTTTCTCTGCAGGCCAAACTTTCCCTTGCCCACCCCCAATGGCCTTTTCATGGCAATGTCAAACGAGAGAGAGAGAGAGAGAGAGGTGCACACTCAGCACAAAATCCAGTTTCTGAACTGAAACAGAGCCAAGTGGTTATAAGTTTGGCTCTCAAACTTTAAAAAAATCACAATGATGACAACAAACTAATAATAGGCTGAGAAAAAAGGCTGTTGGCATTTGTTTTCTGAATTGTTTTGTTTTGAAGATTTTACTTTACCTTGTCTCTTAGGGTCTCTACAGCCTAAGGTTTAAGTTAAACCATTAAAAATATGGAGACTGTTGGAATCAATTTCCCATTGTTAAAATATTACAGGAAATTAAAAAGGAAATGGAACAAAAAAAGATCAAATTCTTTTTTTTTTTAAAAAGCATATTCACTATTAAAATTAGCCTATGCTAAAGACAAGTCTATTTTTCAAGCCGTATTTAACTAGAGGTAACTGCCAAAACCCAGTTAAGCAATTTTTATGCTATTTTCAGGATCCACAATGGAAGGAATTTTTAGTGGAAATGGAAAACCACATAGAGATTAACCAACTCCTTAGTATGGTTCCAACTGCCATACTGCACTCTAAGAAAAAGCTCCAAAAATCATCCCAGCCAAGTGGAGTCCCTACAATTCCTCTCTTATAAAGGAATTCTGTACCAGCAGTCAACGATTTAAAACACTTTGAAATGACTTCATTCCTGCTGACATCACTGGAATCCATCAATTTCTAATACCTCCCCCTCTTATAAGTGAGCTTTGGCCGGGCGGGGTGGCTCACACCTATAATCCCAGCACTTTGGGAGGCCGAGGCAAGAGGATTGCCTGAGCCCACAGGTTTGAGACCAGCCTGAGCAAACATGGTGAGATCTAGTCTCTACAATAAATAAAAAAGATTAGCCGGGTGTGGTAGCGCATGCCTGTAGTTCCAGCTACTTGGAAGGCTGAGGCAGAAGAATCACCTGAGCCTAGCAGGTCAAGGCTGCGGTGGCTGGGAGTGTGACACTGCACTCCAGCCTGGGCGACAGAGTAAGACTCCAACTCCAAAAAAAGTAAGCTTTTTGCATGAGTTATTCTGATTTGCACTAATCACATGTGGCACACTGTCATTTACATGACCCTAAATTTTTTACTCCAGTTTTACAGAATTCATATCTATAGTAAGCATTTGTCACTGATCTGCAACATTATTATATTCTCTAAAACAATGAAGTGCCTTATGTTTGGGAACTTTTTGAATCACTAAGATTTTAGGCTAGTCCAAGGATCTACTTATTTATAGCAAATAAATAAATTTACATTTGCTTTATAGATCACAAAGCACTATTCTTTCCCAAGCATCAACTGGCCATGTTTTCTCTGTCCCTCTCGGCCATTCCTTCGCCGATCCCTATATAAGCTCTAATGATCTTAAATGGAGTCTGAATCCAGGGTTGTAGACTGAGACCTCTTCTAGTAGCCCCTGTGTACTCTCCTTGGGGGAATGCCCCAGCCCTCATGGCTGTTAGTCCCACTGCATGTGGAGGCCCCCAATTCCTCCCTCCTAAAACACAGCACAGCCCCCCATCCAGAAACCCGGGGAAACCTCCCACCTGAATCCCCACTGTGCTCTTCATGCTGACAGACCCAGCCTGGGGCTCCTCCTTCCCTACCTCCACATCTGCTTCTGCTCTGACGTCCTGAGCACCGGGTGAATGGCTCATCCCTCTTCTCCACACCTAGTGGGTACCAATTCCCCTTCATGTTTTTTACCTCTTCCCACTGTCACTACCTTACTCAGATATCCATTTTCCCACCTAGTCTTGAACTCCTCCAATCCATCTTTCACACAAATCTAGCCACTTTGCCCTACAGTTCTCCTTTGAAAGATAAAGTACAAATGCCTTAACTGGGTGTAGAAAGGCCTCCGTACTCCCACTCCCACCCTCCCTTTCTAGACCAGAAGTGTGTGCTTTCTTCTACTCCATGCGCTCAACATCTCAAAATAGTTTTTTCTTCAATTAAGATGGTTTCAGGTTCGAAGCCTTCAGTCAAGTTATTCTCTTACCTCAGAATGCCAACCGCTGGTTCTCCCCATCCCAGTCCCCAGCCCAGGCCTTTGGACTAATGCTATGCAGTGTTGAGCCCCCTCAAGCATCATTTCTTAACTTCCTTCTCTCCCCACCCCTGGGAAGACCTGACTACTCACCACCAGAGCAACTATAACATTTTAATAAATTAACACATCTCTATCTCTGCACTGTTCTCTAGCCTAAGGGATGGATGCTTTGTCAGATTTGTTTCTGTATCTCAAGTTTAAGGCTGACAGGCACATGGACAATGCTCAGTTAATGTTTGTAAGGTGGGAAAATGAACAAATGAAATCAATTTTGATACAAACAACACTCTATGAATATTTTTATTTCTCCATTTTTCAAGTGAGGACTCTTGGAGGCTGAATAATTAATTTGCTTAAGGGCTTTCTGACCCCCAATCTTGTTTTTCACACAAAACTCAACATGTAGTCACATCTCGCTATTTCTAATGCTCCTTTAAAGAAATACATTTTGGCATGAAAAGAAATACCAGAGAGAGAGAGAGAGAAATCCTTTCCCAAGGAAAGAATTCCAAGAGGGCTTTTTAGGAACTATCATCAGAGTGGTTTCTTGTTTCCTGCAGGAGAGCACCAGAAGCAGAGTCCCCAGAGCCCACGACTCACCCATTCGGAAGTCGATGTAGCCCTCTCCTCCACTGATGACAAGCATAGACTTCAAGGGTGTCTGGCTGCCAGGCTCCTGTGCAGATGTCCCTGCTTTGTCACCTGTTAGGTCTGTGCCACTACTGCCACTCTGTGGGCTGATGACTTGACCTATTTTATCAGGAACAGAAGTGAATATTACTTATCACAGATGGGGGAGGGGTCAAGGGACACTTGTTTTTTCTGAATATTTTCTGAAAGTTAAACAAAAAGGTAAGTACAGTCTTGGAACCACCAAATACTAGAAGGCTCTGAATGATCAGAAAACATTTATATGAAGGTTAGAAGAACCCAATTCAAACATCTTAGTAGAGCTGGACAAAGTGGCTTATGCTTGTAATCCCAGTGCTTTGGGAGGCTGAGGCAGGAGGATCGCTTGAGGCCAGAAATACGAGACCAGCCTGACCAACATAGCGAGATCCTGTCTCTATAAAAAAGTTTTAGAGATTAGCTGGACCTGTTGGTGCATGCCTGTAGTCCCAGATAATCAGGAGGCTGAGATGGGAGGATGCTTGTACCCGGGAGTTCAAAGCTGTAGTGAGCTATGATTGCATCACTGTACTCCAGCCTGGGCAACAGAACAAGATTCTGTCTCTTAAAAAATAAAATAAAATAAATGTCTAAGTAAGGCAATTTTGTGCCAAAGCAGAAACAGATCCAAAATTCAGTATGAGATATGCGTATGGCAAGGTCGGTATTAACTGCCTGCTTCAAACTACTACAGTCTATGACTTTGGATCTGAGAGAGAATGGAAAGGTTTCTTCCCTGAAAGAGAGTGTGCTTATTTGTATAAGAGGCTGAGAGACGTCTTCAATTTAAGCCTTATGTGTTTGCAGATTCATAATTAACATTTAGGTTTATTTCAAATCTACAGCTTTCCTCTCATATTTAAGGAAAGCACATTTTATTTTAAATTTAGATTATGCAAATAAAAGTACCGGTAAATGTGCCATTTGTTCTAAAGCTTAAGTTCTAAGGTAGACTCCTTGAGTGTGAAATGGTAGAAAGAGGAACCTTTAAATATTATTCACACTATGAACAAATGAACAGTCTCCAAGGCGCTCTCAGGGAGTTCTGACCATGGGGTATGTTTTGTCTCGCCAGAATCTGCTGTCCTTTGGTCAAACTACACAGGCCACGCCTCTAGGAGGAGCCTGCTGGGGATGACTTCTGCAGTGGACTAGCTCGTTCTGCCACAGAGCAGGAGAACAACGGTATGACATTGAGGCCAACTAGCATGGCTTAGTCCTCAGGGCCAACTGGCCTCACAACAAACAGTGTTGCCAATTCCACATCCAGATTTACACCCAAGAGAAAAATCCTGTACACATGCCCAAGAGAGTCCACCATAGTACTGTTTTTAATAGTGAAAAAAAAGAAAGTCGGAAGGCAAAAACCTACAGGCCCATCAACAGGAAAATGAATAAAATGAAGCACGTTTATTCAGACATGAGAATACCAGTTAAATGAATAAACCACATCTTTATGTATGAACAATAAGAAACCTACAAAGTGGAAAGCAAGTCGCAGAAGAACATACACGAAACTTTACACTGGCTGAGTGTGGTGGCTCATGCCTGTAATCCCAACACTTTAAGAGACTGAAGTGGGAAGATTACTTGAGCCTAGGAGTTTGAGACCAGCCTAGGCAACATAGTGAGACCTCGTCTCTACAAAAAATAAGGAAAAATTAGCCGGGTATGGTGGCACACACCTGTAGGCCCAGCTACTCAGGAGGCTGAGGCCAAAGGATTGCCTGAGCCCAGGAGGTTGAGATTGCAGTGAGCCATAATTGTGCCACTGCACTCCAGCCTGGGTGACAGAGTGAGACCCCGATTTGGAAGGAAGGAAGGAAGAAAATATAACATTTGAGTTCAAAACCACAAAAATGTTTATGATGTATAAATACACTCAAACATAGTAAAAATACAAAAATACTGTAGGAGGATACATACCAAATCAAAGCTGGTGGTTATGGATGGAGTGAAAAGGGAGAAAGGAGTGGGACTGGAGACGGATATAAAATGGCAAAGGGCACTCCATGACGTTTTATTTCTTTTTTTTAAAAAGTAAGAAAAAGACTGTCACCAGTACCTTGCTGTATGTACAGCTAATCATTTAATCTTTGGAACAATCTTGGGAAAGCGAGTGTGATGGTTAATTTTATGTGTCAGCTTGGTGAGGCTATGAGGCCCGATATTTGGTCAAACACCTGTCTAGATGGTGCTGTGAAAGCACTTTTCAGATGTGCTTGACATTTAAATCAGATTTTGAGTAAAGCAGGTTACTCTCCATAATGTGGGTGGAGGTTACTCTCCATAATCTAGTCAGTCAAAAGCCTTAAGAGGAAGACTGAGGACGCCCGAGGAAGCATCATGTTGCCTGTGTCCCCGTCTCTTCCTGCATATGGCCTTGGTGATACAGGTTTCTTCTTAGCAATTTCCTTCATTAGGTCAAGAACATTTTTGTTTTTGGACTTGAACTGCTGCATCAACTCTTCCCTGAATCCCCAGCCTGCCCTGCAGACTTCAGACTTGCCAGTCCCCACAATTGTGTGAGCCAGTTCCTTAAACTCTTTCACTCTCACCACATGTATAACCTTTTGGTTCTGTTTCTCTGGAGAAGCCCAACTACTACAGTGAAACACAACAATTGCTACATTGCACAGTGAGTGAGCAGGGCAAAGTTAGAGTTGAAACTTTCCTCTTATGGAGAAAAAAATTCAAAACACGGGCCCTGCTTACAGATGGTTAATGACATCATTCTAGTATTGTCAACGGACATACCCTTTTTCACTGTATATCACCACTACCACCTTGTCTCAACAGCATTTTCATTAACTTTCATAGCAAATGAAGTAGGCGGAGCAGATATTAATCATGTCCACTTAGGAATGAGGAAATGCGTCTCTGCAGGAAGCGACCTGTTCAAAGCCCAGCCCCAGGCTTCTGGTCCTCTGCTGTCTTCACAACACTGCGAAGGGCGCGGAAAGTGTCCCCTTCTCTTCCTGCATGTGGTCTTGGCGACACAGGTTTCTTCCTAGCGATTTCCTTCATTAGGTCAAGACCATTTTTAGCATTCTGCTATGACAAAATAATGCCATTGCTTTTCAAAAGTAAGCAAGCCTCTTAAAGAAAAATCAAGAAATTCGTTTTTGAGGATGGGAGAGATATTCCAGGATAACTTCATTCAAGTGTCCAATGGCACTCTATTCCTCCCTCCATTACAGAATTTCTTTCATGTGTTATATTGAAATTACCTGCAATGCCAGTACGTAGTATTAGAAGAGGTAGGGGAAGCTGGGTTCAGTGGCTCAGCCTGTAATCCCGCGCCTTTGGGAGGCCGAGGTGAGTGGATTGCCTGAGCCTGCGGGTTCGAGACCCGCCTGGGCAACTTGGCGAGACCTCATCTCTACAATAAATCAAAAAATTAGCTGGGCGTGGTAGCGCGCACCTGTAGTTCCAGCTACTTGGAAGGCTGAGGCGGAAGGATCGCCGGAGCCCGATAGGTTGAGGCTGCGGTGGCCGGGAGCATGCCACTGCCCTCCAGCCTGAGCAACAGAGTGAGACTCCATCATGGGATGACGGAAGAGAGCCAAGTACACAGAACATCTCAGGAGAATAGTCTCACCCACCTGGGACTGCCACGAAGAATTTCACAGCATCACGGTGCCCATGGAAGCAAAGCTGTGCATGTGCCATTGAACAATAGGGTATAAATGTTCCCGGGGTCACTTTATCACTGTTTTCATCACCATAGACACGGATTACACTTCCAGGACGGTTTCCTGGTGCTCCTGAGGTTTTATTTGCTGCAACAGAACAACCAAATACCAAATATTTTCCCCTAGAAAACAGTAGCGATGTTAAGAGGTTACTGGTTAATCCTTATGATAGTATGATAGTATCTAAAAGCTACAGCCAGTTGAGAGGAAACAAGGGCGGCAATGCCAACTCAAGACAAAGCTGGGAGGAGAGAGATATGCATGCTCGTTATTTTTAAGCTCCTCAGTAAATGGAGTGGGGGATTTTGCCAGTCTAGCAGTAACTAAGCTGACTTTTTATTAAACATATCTATTAATTTTTAAAAAAATCATTTTAGTTAACAAAAGAAAACAGATTTGAATCTTAAGTGTGACTGTTTTGTTTTGTTTTGAATTCCCATGCTAGAAAGGTAACCATTATACAGTTTAAAGTAATGAGTGTATTTTTAAATAAAATCTTTCTTTATAGTTTATCTTCTGATTTTCTCCCCTGCAGCAAGAATATTTTCCATGGGGGTGGGGGATAGGGGGTAGTAAAAGGCTGTGCGTCATAGAACCCAGCCACTGCAACAGAGCAGCTTTTCTCTACACCAGCTGATGGTTTGCTGGGTTCCTGCGGAGTGACCAGACTCACAAAACATCCCCGATCCATGGGCAGTAAGTGAATGAAAGAAACATGATTGGTAACAAAGGTAAACAATGTAGATTAATGACAGTATTAAGAGACGTTTCATGTTTATACTGGAAGGAACACAAGGTCTGAAAGAAAGTTCAGCTGCAACAAAAGATGATAAAAAGACTAAGCTGCTGAGCGGTTGGTGGCCATGTAACAAACATTAAAAAAACAAAAACAAAAAACACCTGCTGCAATGCAGTGACTGCAAGTGATGACATTTAGGAACATTCAAGAGGGGATTCTAGAGAAGTGGGAACAGCCTCACAGTGGCTACTAGAAGCCAGGAAGAAGAGCTGGGTTCAGGATCTGCACTTACCCCTCAGCCCCAGTAAACGTCCCTGGTGGAGGATTACGGCTAAAGTGAGAAAGGGGGAAAGGGACATGGAGGGTGCACGAAGGGAGGAGACCGTCACCGTGAGCCACCACTCTTGCGTCTTCTACCTGGTAAACTGGCGCTCAGAGCTCCTAATGCAATTCGCATGATCCCACTTGGTGCAATACCAAGTAACACATAAAGACTTTACCAAGCCTCTATAGAATATCTCTGCTCAAAAAGGACAATTTTATTTGGTTTTTTAAATTATAAAGCAATTTTAGTGAATCTGAATCAAAACACTAAGAACTTAAGGTGGAGCATTTCTTAAAAGCTATCATTTTTCCTTTATTTTTCTGTGTGTGTTTTTAAAAAAACATCCTGGTCTAATAATTATGCTAAAATGGAACTCTCTCTTCTATAAAAAATTGAAATGAACTCGGGGGATCCCGGAATCTCTTTGGATATAAAAAATGGTCTGAATTTATAAGTAGATGCAGAAGATAGTTGGGATAAGAACTTGGGTTTCTTTAAAGGCTCCGGAAATATTCTAGTCCTTCTCCCTCCTTTTCCCCTGAAAAAAAGGTAGGGTGATTCTGAGGTGTGTATTTAATTTATTTTATGAACTTAAGGTATTTGTTTTCAAACCATTCCCTGTCCATGAACTTTGCACACAACAACACTTACTTAATGGATGATAAATGTAATGGAACACCATATGAGAAACATACAATGTGCATTTTGTTTACAAAAATAATAAATCACCTTCTTTTAAATTAGAGGATGGATAGTTTGTCTCCAGATTAAGGAAAGGATTATTGATCTCTTGGGAAACAAATTGAATATCCTAAACTCTCTGCCAAAAGTTAGGATGAATGCTACGTGGTGTTTCTGGACACCGGTATAATAAAGCTGAAGAAAAATGAACATCAATGTTTATTTCAAAGATGAAACAGGACTGTGAGTCCTGAACTGAGAAAAAGAACTTCTCACAATGAAAACGTCTAATTGTGAGGACTGGTCCTGTTATATGGAAGTTGTGATTCTCTGGAGTTCCCAAGTTTCACAGAAGACTGAAGGAACAATAGCTAGACCTCTGCCATCAGCTGGATTTTGAGCTATCACCGATTTGCCAGCACCTAAACAATTCCTTCCACCTGAATTCTACACATAAATATTTCCTGCAACTCTCCAACTTGTCCTGGGCAGTAATCTAAAAATATACTTACTTTCTGTCAACGGGATGGAGATAATGACACCATTTCCTGTCCCCACCCACAAACGATTGCAAGACACCATAAGAGCTGTGATCCTCACAAAAGAGAAGCCCAGTTTTCCAGTACCTGTAAGGGAAGGTAGGAACATTTTATTGAGAAGCTAAAGCAGACAGTGTTTTAGAGTCCAAGTCTCTTAAGAGTAGCAGAATTAACACAACTGAGAGGAAATGTGACCAGAGCTAGACGGATGATTCCTGAAGGTGCATATCAAAGCAAACTTTTACAGGGCCTTATTGCCCAATAACTCAGGGTTCATAGAAAAATGAAATTCTAAAAGTGGGTAGCAGTACGTTAATAGAAGAAAGGTACACAAGAAATAAGGTACATTAGGAAATATGACACAAGATTTAACTACGGACCTGCAAAACCAAACCAAAACACAAAAATTTCCAACAAAAAACAAGTGTATTACACTAGGAAATCAATGCCCTTTGATTTTATAAGCTGAAAAAGTCCTGGCTTTCATTAAGTTTCTTTTTTTTTTTAAGATTAGAAAATACAGTTTATTTAGAAATTAAGAGAGAGAGAGAGACAGACAGACAGACAGACAGACAGAAAAAGGAGATTCATCTCCTCAAGATAGGGAAGAGGGTCAAGGCTTAAAAAAACACGGTCTGGTTATAGCTCAAAGAGCACATGACCACACCATAGCTTAGCAAGGCAATGGCAAAATGGCTGCCCATTAAATTTCTTTGCATAGATAAAAACAATCTTGGCTAACGAAACCTATACTTTTCCCCTTGTTTATATACTTAGGTTCTAAAGCAGCTTAGAAATTTTAGCATATCATACATAAATAATTTAGGGAGAATGGCTGCATTTTTAAATTTCAAGTGTATTTTTACAATTGATCTTATTTTCGGTGATTTGAGAGGCAAAATTATTAAACAGGTAATACATCAGACAGATAGCATTAGCCATAGCCAGTCATAAGTTCTACTTACAAGAACTGAGGGCATGAACATAGCATCACAGTGTTACATATTCTCACTCATAACTGGACCTTGAACAATTATAGTAATACTATAAGAAAAGGGAAATTGCCAGGGGGTGGGAGGGATTGGCAGCAGTGAGATTCTGCCGGGGGGGGGCACACCTCATCACAAAGGGTACCTGCACAGCGAACACTTGTATACTTAACCCTGAATTGTACCCTACATCTTTAAAATTAAAAATTAAAAAAAAAAAAAGAATCACAGTGTTAGAAGGAACCTTAACTACCACTCTGTCTAAGCCAGGAACCTGTAACTTACAGTCAAGGTTATCCCTAAAATTAGTTATATGCTTGGTTCTAGGGAGATGGAACATAGCTATAACCAGGTTCTCTGAGGGCAACAACTCTAAAAAGGTAAAAAAAACCACTGATTCAGTTCGATTTTTCTTTATTAAAGTAATCCTTTATGACATCCCTAATGGTCACATGGCACAGGGTTAGATGCTAAGGACACAGCAGGGAATAAGACACAGATGACCCTAGCCCTTCTCAGGGCAGCCCTAGGGTCTGTGGGGGAGGGACTGTAAGCAAGAATCTCATAATGCTGCTGCAATCACAATTATGGCAAGCCCATGGAGAAAAAGCATGAGAGGACCTACATGAAGGTTTCTCCTGGATATGACATGCAGGCTATGGTCCGAAAGCTAAGAAAAAAGGACCAAGGAGAACTTCCCAGGTGAAGGAACACATGTGAGGAGCCTGAAACAGGAAGGTACTTGTTGAGCTGTGGGTCAGTGAGCGCAGGAAAGTGGGCCAGCCCGGGTAAGAGCTCCTGGTCACAGGACAAAAGATCACCTCACTAAAGGCGAGAGTAGGGGGGTGTCGTGGCAATATCTGCACGTTAGTTATTAGGCAGGAGTGGAAAGAGGAAGCCCAGTTAGGAGGCTCATGGTAACAGGGAGAAGGGAGGAAGGATGGTAGCCTGGCCTCGGGGGGTTAGCGGTAGAGATAAAGAACTCATTGATTTAATCTATTTTGAGGCAGACTTGACAACTCCTGGTGATGGATTAGATGTGAGGAATAAGAGAGAAGGAATAAAAAATGATCCCAAGTTTTGGTCAAACACAACAAGGTGGACTGGAGCATGTCTGAGCCTTTCAGTGATAAGGGTTGACTACTAATGAGGCGACTTTTTCACTGGTTCTATATAGCATTTTAGACCATATAAAAATAAAACAAGGGCTGGGCATGGTGGCACATGCCTATAGTCTCAGCTACTCTGGAAGCTCAAGTGGGAGGACTGCTTAAGTCCAGGAGTTTGAGGCTGCAGCACACTATAACCACATCTGCGAATAGATACTACACTCCAGCCTCGGCAACATAGACTCTGTTTCTAAAAATAAATTTAAAAACCCACTCTCTTTGATTGGCAAAGATGGAACACTTTGGAAGCTTACCTAACATTTTGCTTACGTAAGGCTCAATGTCCACATCCTGCAGATGTTGATAAGTGTGTGCATGATAAAGACGGAGTGTGGAATCCAAGCGAATGGAGACCCACACACCGTCACCCACCCACGCAAGTTGTCGCACTTGGCTCTCCTTCCGAGGGTGTGCATCAAACGATTTCTAAGAGAGATTGTACAATAGCAAAGTTACTTTTATGACATAGAAGTTCATATTTAAAACCTGCACTAGTTTGTAAAACAATTTAGTAGACCGCTTAATAAAAGAGAACCCTAAATATTATACACTAAATATGATGACTCTTACATACACAATTATTTTCATCCTAGAATGTACAATAAAATGAAGAAGCAAGAACCACAGGATGCTGGACTTCAGCACTAAATAGGACATTAGCCAGTGAAAGCATGCGGGCACATCCACACCATTTAACAGTGTGCAACAGGGCAATTCTGATCTCGGGATTTTGTGTTGTTATGCAGCAATATGAAGGGGAACCAGAACACAGGAACTTATTTATAAAAAATTGGTATTTATTCTTACATGTTTAAACTTCAGTTACCTTCAAAGTACTCTCAGTTTGATGCAATGCACCTACCTATTGAGATGCTTTTCCCTTTGCACAAAATAGTTTTTGAATGCATCAATTTTGATGCCTTTTAGTGCTGCCAATTTTTGTCAAGAATTCCACATTGACAATTGTTTCCCTTTGAGGATCTTTTTCATTCCAGAAAATAAAAAAAAAAGTTGCTCAGGGCGAAATTGGGTGAAAAGGGAGGGTAGGGCACAGGGTTTGTGATGTTTTTGGTCAAAAACTGCTTAATACTCAGTGCGGTGTGGGCAGGTGTGCTCATAAATCGCCCATCATAAAATGGGCAAATGCACTGAAAGAATTTTCAAAAAAAAATTCACTGAAGCCAAACACAGCCTCTCACAACAACACTATCTGATACACTGATGATGATGGGTTCCTAGAACACATACCTAACGGGGGAAGCCTGCCCTGCAAGAAGCTCACCCTCCAAAAGATAATTCTGGGGATTTTTGGGTCCCCCTTGTACATGAAGTAAAAGCTTATTTATAATGAACAAAAAGAAATCCACACCGCTGTGTGTGTGTATGTGTGTGTGTGTGTGTGTGTGTGTGTGTGTGTGTGTATACAGGCTGCGTATCCCTAACCCGAAAACCTGAAATCCAAAATGCTCCAAAATCTGGAACTTTGAGTGCCAATTTGATATTGTAAATTACCCTAAACATATTATTTTTCCACTGTGTAAATGGTCTGTCATATTTGTATACTGTTAAGTACTTACACATGAATCAATGTAAGAAAATGACTGCTTATTGGCAGCATTTAGAGTCAGAAATGATGGTGATGTCAAGCCACCGACCCTCCCCAGGAGTGGCCGAGACAAGGGCACCTCTGCTTTCTGATGGTTCGGTGTACACAAGCTTTGCTTCATGCACAAATTATTTAAAAATACCGTATAAACTTACCTCTTTCAGGCTATATGTTTAAGGTGTATAGGAAGTATAAATGAATTTCATGCTTAGACTTGGATTCTATCCCCAAAATAGAATCTCATACCTATATACAAATATTCTAAAATCTGAAAAAAAATCCCAAATCCGAAACACTTATGGTCTCAAGCATTTCGAATAGGGGATACTAGACCTGCATATATGACTGGATAAAAGGAATAGATATGAAAAAACAAGTATCAAATGGTTAACTTTGGGACTCCGGGAACTTTCCACTTAAAATTTTTCTCTTGCAAGTTTTTATTTTTTGTAAGCAATTAGGACAAATTTTTGCGCTGCAGTAAAAAAAAAATTATAGGAAAAAATGCTAAGAGGTTTCTGTTCTTCTAGCAAATGTCTACTACAATGGTATTTCTCAGTCTGTAACACATATGTGGAGGTACCTGGATACACATGGTAGGGGGAGACTTGGGAATCCTCCTCTCAACCAATACTTATATAATCAAACACATTAAGAACCACCTATTCAAATAAAACATGTACACCATCTATGGATACGAACACAGACACAAGTTTAAACATTAATGGGTGAACCTTCCTTTTAAAAAAACCACTAGCTACTCTCATGGTCTACAGTGGAGGGAGCTGAAGTAAGACATTCAAACATATTGCTCAAGTACCCTAGAACACATAGATTCAGAAAATCATTTCTAAAGAAGCTGAAAATAAGTATAGTCTAATAGTCTTTGAGTAATACAAATTCAGTAAGTACAGAATACATAGGCTAACTTGCCTCTATTTTCATGGCCTTTGGCTGAACCACATAGATCTTGTTCCTATAGCCACACCAGACTTTGTCATGTACCACAGTCATGCATCGGATGGAATGATGAGGCCGTCCAAGGTCTAAGAGGTGATAGTTTGACAAGTCCCACTGCCCATCTTTAAAATAATAGATGATCGTTAACACATACCCCTTTTACTCAATTTCAACACAAGAAACAATCTATTTGCAGTACATTCATTGAGGAAGCACCCAAAGTACCATGCATTAAGTATTTGCAGAGACTGCATGCTCTTATTCCATAAACTGCAAAGTTGGAATAGACCTCAAAAGTCATTTGATCCAACCTGACACTCGGTACCTGGACCCCCTTTAAAATATGCTCTCATCGCTTCTCGGCTTTTTGGCTAAGATCAAGTGTAGTATCTGTTCTTATCAGTTTAAAATATGCTCTCAAAAGCAGTGATATAATAAATCAGTTACAAGTTATCTATTTACAGTAATAATTTAAAAATTTATTCTGGACTAATATCTCTCACTTGCATTTTGATGATAGAAGTCAAGGGCAACTCATTGCCAACACTTTAGAAATTGTGCAAACTTGCTTTGCTAATTTATGAGCACACTGTGCCTCACAAAGCAGCTGTTACATTTTCAGACAATCATAATTATATGAAAAATATTCCCTACACCTAGTGCCTCCTTGTACATAACTGCCTATTGGTCTGTAGTTTTGCCCAGTAGAAACACAAAGAATAACTCCAAACTTCTTCGTTACAGTCCTATGTCTTCTCCTTTCAAAACTAAGCATCCTTGGCATGTGTGTTGTACCTATCACAGTCTATAGCCCCTTCATCCTAACTCTATTTTGTTGGTATCCACCAAACATACTGTCTTGCACCAAAAGCAGGATTATCATCAGCCTTGTCCCGAACTCTTTGTTTCTATGAGGCTTAGGGTGTTAACTAACTCATACTTAAAGGGTGAGTTCACAGTCACCCTTTAAGTAATTCTCACCCTTCAGACGTGTCTCCCGCATTTTGCTTTTCTGAGCCTAATGTAGAACTTTACGTTGATTCTGACTAAATGTATTTTATTGTCTTGTTCTGTCAATATAATTTTGGATTCAGTTTACCAAAACATTTATTATTCCATTTTTTTTTCTAGGCTCTTCCACTTATTAGCTGAATGATTATGAGCAAGTGATTAAAATGCCCTGTGTCTCAATTTCCTCATCTATAAAATGGGGATGACAAACAGAATCTTCTTCCTAAGTTCATGGGAGGATTAAACACAGATCAAGTCTGTAAAGAGACTGAACAAGGTAATACAGTACTCTCTGATGTGAGTGAGAGTCACTGACCAGCAATCTCTAGATACCAATCAATTACAAAGGCACCTATCATCTATCCCACATTTCTCCAAGGACATGAGACTTTGAGAAAAGCCTTTTTCAAATCCACATTCAGTATATCCAAGTCTCACAACATATTTCTGATCTACTAATCTAGTGTGTAGAAAATGAAGTATCACATTTGGCTGACACATGTACTGAGGAGCTATAAAGTAATGTATACTAAATTCCTTAAGTTAATTCATTCAAGGTAGGCTTTTTGATACCATCACTCCTGTCTATAGATGGTAGAGACAATGGTTTTAAAGAGGAAGAATATAAGTAACATGATATGAAAATGATTAAATTTTACTCAATTAAAAATTCTTTGAGGCCGGGCTCGGTGGCTCAGCTTGTAATCCTAGCACTTTGGGAGGCTGAGGCAAGTATTGTCTGAGCCCACAGTTTCGAGACCAGCCCGGACAACTTGGTGAGACCTCATTTCTACAATAAATAAAAATTTAGCTGGGCGTGGTAGTGTGCGCCTGTAGTTCTGGCTGCTTGGAAGGCTGAGGTGGAAGGATCGCCAGAGCCCAGTAGGTTGACACTGGGTTGGCTATGAGTATGCCACGGCACTCCAGCCTGGATGACAGAGTGAGACTCCAACCAAAAAAAAATTCTTTGAAAAACCTTTCCAGATTAAGTGGACACAAATATTTTTAAAACATAGGACACAAGAAAAAGTATTCTCGCCAAATGTGCCCTAATTGAATAAGTATATGAATGGGAACAAATGCTTCCACATCACATTATATAAGAGTACCATAACATGCTAACTACTTGCTCATTATGGTAAATACATTTTCCTGAGGTATACTGTGAACATATAATACTTCCACACAGGCACTAATATATTTACTGACACCATACATCTTTAGTATTCAGCTTAAGTCTGTATTCTTTATCCTACTAAGTATAATTTATTTAAAATATAACAACCCAATCTGTTTGAAACTGCTTCGCAAAGCTACAAATTAGCATCACGTTATATATTCATAGTCACTCACCCACTCCTCTGTGAAAGATTGCAAGGGTGCCATCAGCCAGGGCCACTAAAACGATGCCTTTCACGTGTCTGCAAACAGGAAAGGGGAGTTCAGAACTCTCCACTCAGGAATACAGAAGGGACCGCCCACTACTGAACTAATTCAGAGCCTCACAAGGGCCAATCTGTGATGAGGCGAGGGGCTGACGCCAGAACATGAATGAACACACTGCTTTCTTCATTGTGAATGCTGTGCTAGGAAAAAACGTCAGCTCAACTCAATATGCAGCATGCATGGCAGCTCAGCTGTCTCACTTTCAGGCCCAAGTCCCTCTTCCAATCACAGACAGTTGACTCAAACTCCACAGGCCAGAGACACACACCTTTAGTGGAACTAACAGAATCAGCTCTGTGGACTCAGAAACAAACTGCCTGATTCTTTATAGTCAGTATATAGAAAAGAACTAGTAAATCAATGTGCAACTCAGCAGATTTACAAGCTGTAAAGAATAATCTAAAACAAACATAAATTAACAGGTACTAGTTCTCCTTGAAGTACAAAGGAACTCACAGTATGGTGAGGAATCAATCCGTCAAGTTTTCCCTTCTATTTCTAATATAAAGTTTTGTCTTCACTCAGCTTCTCTAGCTCCATAAAAAGGGGTTAAGAAAAACAAACCTGAATATTGATTTAGTTATGAAATACGTAATAGCTTTAATAGATGGAAAATCTAGTTTATACCAAAATGCATTGTTTTAACACAAAGAGTTTCAAAAATAAACTTACACGACACTGAGAATCGAATCTTTAAGCTTAATGGAATGGAGACATTTCCTCCACTGGGCTACAGATGAGTGGACATACAAACTGTAAGAACAAAGTCAAGACTGGTAAGGCATAAAGAACGTCAAGGCGTTGCTTACGTCGCATAAGAACCACAAGTTCATTCAAGGGGCAGGATGAGGAACATACACCTTTTAGGAAAAAGTGCTGCCACTTTTGTACCATGGTCAGAAAAGAAAAATGAGAGTAAGGGTAGGCCTGAGGCAGAGAAACAGGCTGCAGACAAATAGAAGCACGTGAAGCCTGCAAAGCCAGAACTGGTGCAATGCGCAGTCAGTTTCAGGTCGCCCCACACTCTGCAGTCCACGGCTGAGCCCCTGTTTTGAACCAACTGACTCCTCCCTCCACTACACTGAACCATAACTACTCTAACTTTTGGATGACAGAGGTCCACAGCAAGGAATGGAAAGTTATGGCCTACATGCTAGATCCAGCCTGCAAACTGAGAACCGTTTTCGCATTTTTAAATGATTGGGGGAAAAATCAGGAGTATGCCATGCCACTGGAGATTTATACCAAATTCAGATTTCAGTGCCCATAAATAAAGTTGTATTGGAACACAGTCACACTAAGTTTGCTGATCTTTCATTTTATAGTAGTAGACCTATGTGGAGAAGACATACTACAGGTCGAGTATTCTTTATCTGAAATGCTTGGGACCAGAAGTGTTTGGATTTTTTAATTTTTTTGGATTTTAGAATATTTATATTATATGTAACCATTGAGTATCCCTAATTCTAAAATCCAAAATCTGAAATGTTACAATGAATGTGACCTGTGAGCATCACATCAGTGCTGAAAACGTTTCAGATTTTGGATTTTTGGGCTAAAGATGTTCAACCTCTAATAATCTGGTTTAACTTTTGAAAATGCACAATTTTGTAAAACTCCCCACACTACTAGAAAGTGAACAAGTCATATAATGTTAGTTATTATCCTCTCAGTTTTCAGACTGTGATTTGTTCTACCTTTCCTAGTAACTCTACTAAAAAGTGACATTTGGGATTGGGTTTTCCTATAGTCAAACACATTAGTTTAATCCTGGCTTTCCTGCCCACACTTTAGCCTATAAAAATCTTCCATACATGAGACATTCTCTCTCTGTGCTGTTCAGGATCTTCTATTTCTGGATCACCCAGATTTAAATATCTTATTTATCTCTTCTTCTAAGAATATCATGTAAAGGGAACATTCTGTGACAAAGGCACATAAGATACATTTACCATTCAGAACCAATGCAAGTCCAGTTTATGGAATAGCTGCAGTACAACTTCAAATTTTATGTGTATGTGTAATTATTTTTATAAATATGCACTTTTTGTTTGCATTTGTGGTTTAGGACATTTTACTTATTTATCTTCTGATTTCAAAAGCAAAAGTAAAAGAATAAAGATAGTCTATTATTCAGTGTGTTGGCACTTACCAGCCATTTTGAGCTCCAAGCCACATAGTTGGTAAAAGACTACTCATTTTCTGGGCTTCTTCTCTCACCAGGTCTTGTTCATTTGGTAGTAAGGAGATCTGATCTTTATGCGCATCTGAGTCATTGCTGGAAAGGTGGAGCAAAGGAAAATAAACTGAGTATACTTACCCAAACTTTTCAGGGTCTGAGCATTTCTGCATTTATATTTATAGTCTAAAAAATAACTTAAATACTAAAACTCCAGAAAAATCAAAGTTAAATGCTTACATCAAATATTTCAGCAATTTTACCAAAAAATCACATTAACAAACTAGGGGGCCCAAAGTGCAGATAAGGGAGTAAGACACGGTAATGAAATGCAGCAGTTAGCCCGCCAATAATTATGATGCTCCCTTAGTTACTTTGAGTGTTATTACAGGGTAAGAGAGGAGGGAGGGATGGTTTGTTTTTAAAAAAAACACACACACAGGAGGGTGATATATGAGGAATTTTCTAAAATTAGTTAATAAACTGAAGTATACTCTAGGGCTCCATTATAAAACCTTTCTTTTGGATTGTCAGGGCACATTTAGTAGAAGATATATAACTGGGCTGTCAAATCCAAAACATGAGTTTATTCTTAAATTAATAATTAAATGTTAATAGACTTGTTGCTGTATACACTAGGAGAAAATATTAAACGGTAAAAAGGATCCAGCTTAAGAGACCTCCATCTAGAAAGAATCTAGAGAAGGAAGAAAAGGAAAAGTCTTCACTAAATGGGCCCAATTCTTTAAAGGAAGCACCTTAAACAGACTGTTTTCTAATAAAATGTTTTCACGAAAACTAACTCCAAAAAGGTCATTCAAGCCCACATGGGACACTCAAACAATGGCAAATTAAAACAATAGTCAATTTTACTGGTCTCAGCCTCTTGAGTAGCTAGGACTGCAGGTGCATGTCACCACACCAGGCTATTTTTATATACCCTGAAGAACACAAATCACTCTATAAAAAAGATACCTGCACACGTATGTTTATCGCAGCATTGTTCACAATAGCAAGAACCTGGAAACAACCATGCTGCCCATCAAAAGAGGACTGGATTAAAAAAATGTGGTACATATACACGATGGAATACTACGCAGCCATAAAAAAGAACAAAATCATGAATTTCGCTGCAACCTGGATGGAACTAGAGTCTATAATACTGAGTGACCTCTCACAAAAACAAAAATCCGAATATCACATGTTCTCACTCATATAATGGACCTTGAACATCCAATGCAATACTATGAGAAAATGACGGATGGTACTGGGAACCTATGGGGGGGAGGGGGATGGGATTAACAGTAGCAAATATCTGTCGGGGGATGGGAAAACACTTCTTATCTACAGGGTGCCTGAATGAAACGTCATTGTACACCTACCCTTAACTGTACCCCACAAAACCATAATAAAAACTACTGATTAATGAAAAAAAAAAAATAATTCTTTTTTGTAGAGACAAGGTCCCACTATGTTGCCTAGGCTGGTCTTGAACTCCTGGCCTTCAGCAATCCTCCCACCTCAGCCTTCCAAAGTGCTGGGATTATAGCTGTGAATCACCATACCCAGCCAGTTGTATTTCTACAGACAAGAATTTTTTCTTTTCTTTTTTTTTGAGTTGGAGTCTCACTCTGTCACCCAGACTGGAGTGCAGTGGCCGCTTCCGGCCACCGCAGCCTCGACCTGGTGGGCTCCGGCGATCCTTCCGCCTCAGCCTTCCAAGTAGCTGGAACTACAGACGCGCGCTACCACGCCCGGCTAATTTATGTTTTATTGTAGAGATGAGATCTCACCAAGTGCCCAGGCGGGTCTCGAACCTGCGGGCCCAGGCAATCCACTCACCTCGGCCTCCCAAAGTGCTGGGATTACAGGCTGAGCCACCGAGCCCGGTCGAATTTTTGTTTTAAGTTAGAAGAAATGGAGGAAAATATCCAGAGGAAATGAAAGGGAGGTAATAAATAGAGATGGCAAAATTAGGTAAGATTGTCTTTCAGTCCACCACAATGATGCCAATTAGTGGGACTATTTTGGTTGTCTGAGATTATCTTAGTTACTTTTATTGTGCACTTTAGCCAGTTTCCTAAGTTGAAGACCCACTACTATACCTTGACTGATACACTGGGGAGAGGTCTTCTGGGATCTGCACCCCCAAAGGATCTGTGAAGACATGCTCTGTGTACACGCCAGCTTGGGATATGTCCACGGTGTCTTCCGTTGACCCTGCGTTGCCTTCAGTGGCTTCAGTTGCTTCTTCTGCTGTTGGAACGTTTTCATCAACCTCACTACTTTCTGCTTCCATTTCTAGAAATGGAAAACAGCAAGCTAACTATTCTGTGTCCGGGCTTTTCTCCTCCAACAGTTTCCCCATACACATCCCTGCTACAGAATTCCCCTCTACCCACTTACTTCTCCACACTGTATTATGAAACTAAGAAGTCTTGATTTCATAGAACAGTCATTATGGCATCTTTTTTCAAGCTCTTTCCTCCTTGTTACTTTAAAAACTCAATTAAGTCCACCATAAGGCACCTGACCTGGAGTAGCCTCAGACTCTACACAGATGGTATACAAGAAGAAGAGATATACCTGGTGGCTTTTCTATCACCGGAGAAGCACCATTGGTACTGGGAGAAGTGGCAGCTCCTGTCACACCTTCTGCAGAACAACCCACCACTGTGATGCCTCCCAACAGGCTGTCTGTCTCTGCTGAGCTGTTGCTTGTCATGCTTCCACATAAAGAAGCTTTGTCTACTTGGCCAGATTCTGAAAGATCTTCTCCAGCAGGGTAGTCTGTTTCTCTTGCACCTGAAAAATAAGAAAAACCTTCCTTTAATAGCTAAGTTAACTCCTATAAAAAGCATTTTTTCCACTAAAGCAACTACAGATTTGAAAGGAGAGCATGCAGGTTGAGATGTAGCTACTTGAATACAGGTAGCATTAAATTTATTTAAATGAACCTTCACAAAATGAGAAGGTAACTTACAAAATTAAGATACTTCCATTAATACTAGTGCAAAAAAACACGAAAATGTCAGAAAAGACACGTCTGTCTTAAATAAGAGGCTCAGCAGCCACAGGAGGTTAAAAACAATCTAACTATATCAAACAAGTCAGCCAAAAAAAATTATTTTAAATTATCAAGATTACTGTTGATATATGAGCTTCTATCCACTAGTGTTAAAAATCAAATACAGTAAGTGTGTTACAGTGACTCAGATATTAATAAATCATTTAAAAACTAAGCATTACGATATAAAAAATATAAAGATAAACCACCTCATTATTTTTATTTGGAAAACTGCTTTTTTTTTTTGAGTTGGAGTCTCACTCCATTGCCCAGGCTGAAGTGCAGTGGCATGCTCACGGCCACTGCCTGCCGGGTTCAGGCAATCCTTCTACTTCAGCTTTCCAAGTAGCCACAACTACAGGTGTGTGCTAACATGCCCGGCTAATTTTTTAATTTGTTGTAGAGATAAAATCTTGCCAAGTTGCCCAGGCTGTTCTTGAACCCATGGACTTAGGCAATCCTCTCACCTCCCAAAGTGCTAGGATTACAGGGTCGAGCCTCCGTGCCTAGCAGAAACTGCTTTTATTCGTATCACATTAAAATTTTTATTGTAGTAAAATATATATATAAAACATAAAAATTTCCATTTTAACCACTTTAAAATGTGCAATACATTAACATTGATTATATTCATAACGTTACAAAGTCATCACAACTATTTACTTCTAAACTTTTCTGTCATATCACACAGAAACTCTGTACCCATTAAACACTAACTCCTATCCCTGCCTCACTCTACCCAGTCCATGGTAACTTCTAATATATTTTTGCTCTACAATTTGCCTATTCTAGATAGCTCATACAAGTGGATTCATACACTATTTGTCCTTTTGTGTCTGGCTTGAATACAGGTAACATTAAATATTTTATGGTTTTGTTTTTTTTTTTGAGTTGGAGTCTTACTCTGTCACCCAGGCTGAAGGGCAGTGGCACATTTTCATCTACCGTAGCCTCGACATGCTGGGCTCAGGCGATCCTTCCACCTCAGCCATCCAAGTAGCTGGAACTATTAGGCATGTGTGGCTACAATGCCCAGCTAATTTTTTTTTTTGTAGAGATGAGGTCTCACCAAGTTGCCCAGGCTGGTCCTGAATCTGCGGGCTCAGGCAATCCTCTTGTCTTGGCCTCCCAAAGTGCTGTGATTATAGGTGTGAGCCACCGTGCCCAGCCAACATTAATTTTTTTTAAACTAAAAATAATATTTATCTCTCTGGGTCTGGCTTATTTCCATTAGCATAATGTTTCTAAGGTTTACCCATGTTATAACACATGTCAGAACCTTTCCCTGTAGTCAACAATAATGTATTGTTCACTTAGAAATTTATTTACAGGGTATATTTCATATTAAGTGTTTTTACCACAAAAAATGTAAAAAATGAACTTCATTCTTTTTGAATGGTTAAATATTATTCTATTGTATAGCTATCACAAATCTCTTTAATTTTAAAATTGGTGTTTTGCCAGGCTCGGTGGCTCAGCCTGTAATTCCAGCACTTTGGGAGGCTGAGGTGAGTGGACTGCCTGAGCCCGTGGCTTCGAGACCCGCCTGGGCAACTTGGCGAGACCTCATCTCTACAATTAATAAAAAAATTAGCCGGGCGTGGTAGTGCGCACCTGTAGTTCCAGCTACTTGGAAGTCTAAGGCAGAAGGATTGCTGGAGCCCAGCAGGTTGAGGCTGTGGTGGCCAGAGCAGCCACTGCACTCCAGTCTGAGTGACAGAGTGAGACTCCAACTCAAATAAAATAAAATAAAATAAAATTGGTGTTTTAACAGCATATAGTGCTTAACCCAGAATGTTAGAAAACCTCCCCTTATTTATTAAACAGCCCTATGCCTTCTGCCTTCCAGTGACTTCTCATATTACTGTCATTATTTTCTTCACAGTATTTTTTCACTAACTGAAAATATCTTGTTTATTAATTTCCAATTTTTCTTTTTTTTCCCTTTTTTAAAAAAATATAGAGACCAGGTCTCACTGTGTTGCCCAGGCTAGTCTCAAAACTGCTGGCCTCAAGTGATCCCCCTGCCTCAGCTTTGCAAAGTGCTAGGATAATAGGCGAGAGTCACCACGCCCAGCCATCTGCAGTTTATTTTCAATCTTCTCCAACTAGCACATAAACTCCCTGGAAGCCAGGTGCATAACTGCATCTCCAGAAGCCAAATCAGTTCTTGTCAGGAAGCAGTGTAGACGGAGAGGGGCGAGGAGGGGGACAGAGAAGGCACACCTCACTCTTACCTGGTACACTTGCAATGCACAGAACATGCGAGTTGCAGACAGTGAAACTGTCTAGGATGTTGCCTGGCTGCACAGCATCAATGATGATAACTTTTGTAGCCGAGTGAGTGCTGGTGCAGATCCAAACTAGACTGGATAACTCTTCCTGATTTTTTAACTCTTTCTGCTGTTCCTGCACAGACAAAGTAAGGAAAACAGATGTTTAAAATGATGTTTGCAAATACTCATAAGGCTGTGCTACACAGTAAAAGGAATAATACTATTTCAAATTTATTTCTAGATTATTTGGAAGGGCAAAAATATAATCACCTGTCAATATTAATTAGTGGACTTTAAACTAGTAGTTAAAGCAGATTAGTGATAATACATAGGTGCATACATTTGTCAAAACTCTGGCCTGCATCCATGTCAGGGGTACACTTTATTGTATGCAAATCATATCTCAATAAAACTGACTTCAAAGGTGGGGGGTGCATAAGCAATGGCATAATTAGTGATCCCAATAAGTAAATTCTAGACCAAAGAACTAGGCTAACGATCTCATAAACCACGGCAAACGTTTAGTGTACATACTCACCTTAAGCTCCTGATCTAACTTATCTAAACTACTCTGAGATGCACTTCGCTGCTTACTGCCTTCTGTATCCAAGCCAGCAACATCCTTGTAAAACACGCTTGCTCCAACAACAGAGCCGCCGTCTCTGGTCTTCCCACCAGATAAATTGACTCCAACAGCACACCACAGCTTCTCAGGTAGAAAACAAAGGGTGTAAGTCTAGACATGTTTAGAATTTTTCATGTTCTTAAAATAACTAGTGATTGTACATACAGATCTTTAGTATAGTCTGAAGCTATAAAATGAAGCATAATCTCACTATACAAGCAACATTATACCACTTTGGTTTCAGGGAAAAAAATCTACCCAGAGTTTAGGAAATATCTCCTTTAACTTCACATTAAACTTACCTTCATGGATGCATCTTTTTCATCTAGAGGTCTGAGATAGACAGGCACAGGTAGATTTTTCATCTTATTTTCACCTTGGCCATTGGTTACCTGGTATGTGGTGAGGGGGCGAAAGAAGAAATTGGTAAGTCTCACTGAAAGTGAACATCTTACAGAGCTACTGAGACGTGGGCAAGCATTGCTTGTTACCTATTTACTCCCTGAATCAAGTTCAAGTTGATCTTGCTATTTTTATTTGAAAACTAAACAGAAAAATCAAGTAGCAATTAGAAAACGGAGCTCAGAAGAGAGGCACGAATATCTGCATATGTGCGTGTGCGTGTGTGTATGTGTGTGTGCACACAAATACCTGCCTCTTTGGGGATAGGGAATATGGAGCAAGCAGGCAAGCCTTGAACTAAGTCTTAAGTAGACAGTCTGAAAGGCTCCATACCAATAGTTTTTAAAACAATGACGCTGATTTTTAAAAAGTGAAACTTTCAGATGCTGAAACAGAGCCACTCTGGTTAAAGCAGAGCCAGGTACTTCAAACTCCTGGCCACACTCTGTTGACTCCTCCCCTCCTCACAGACTCAGGCATTTCACTTTAGTTCTAGGGCTCTAGACAACAGCCTGTACACCTCCAGATCCACACTTCTCTCAACCTGTGCCCAGTAAACACAGCTGAGATGAGTGGGGCTGGGACGTGCATTGCAATTCCTTCCTGCCCAAGTGCACGCCCCTCACCCAGTTATCTCCCCTGGGGTGTTCTCCCCATATTCACGTTACCTGTTTGTACTTCTGAGGCAGACTCCAGCCAAAAGCCTGTACTCTACCATCTTCCTTCTGAACATGTGCTTTTACCTGGCGATACTGTTCTCTCTTTTGTTCTCTACGTGAGGCTAAACTTGCTTCAGTTCTAAAAGAAAAATTATTTCCTTTTTTAGTTAAGGGAATATAACAACAGCCTTGTCTTCCATCTCTCTCTAAAATTACAAAAATAACAAAAAATTACATGATTTTAAGTTGGTTAATTCAGACTACACTAGCTCTTTGTTTTTTTTTTATATTTATTTATTTTTAAATAGAGACAGGGTCTGGCTATGTTACCTAGGCTGGTCTCAAACTTCTGGGTTCAAGCAATCCTCCTGCCTCAGCCTCCCAAAGTGCTAGGATTACAGATATGAACCACTGCACCTGGTCTACAATAGCTCTTTTAAAAAAAAGTGCTATAATAAAGTTCACCTTTTAAAGTTTATGCAGTGAATACCGTGCCCAAGCGTTAACAGTTAGCAAGCAGCCTGCTATATAAAATTGAATCATCAGCTCAAATGTTGGCCATAGGAAAACGAAAAATTCTTAAGTATTTTTGGCTCCTCCTTTTTTTATTCATTCAACAAATATTTACTGAGAATATTTTAATGTCAGGGACTGTGCTAGAAATGACTAAAAAATCCAATCATCTGCTTAGGAAATGCAATTTTTTTTTTGAGTTGGAGTCTCACTCTGTCACCCAGACTGGAGTGCAGTGACCGCTCCCGGCCACCGCAGCCTCGACCTGCTGGGCTCCGGCGATCCTTCCACCCTCAGCCTTCCAAGTAGCTGGAACTGCAGGTCATGCTACCACGCCCGGCTGATTTTTTGATTTATTGTAGAGATGAGGTCTCGCCAAGTTGCCCAGGCGAGTCTCGAACTCACGGACTCAGGCAATCCACTCACCTCAGCCTCCCAAGGTGCGGGATTACAGGCTGAGCCACCGAGCCCGGCTAAGAGTGCAAATTGATTTGATAAGTTTTGGAGCTATGGAGTAAAGTATTATGAAAATGATTTTGAAAATAATTTGTCTTTCATTTGGTCATTTAAATTTTTGTGAGGTGACTTGCTATATATACCACAGTTAACAAATCTAACTATATGTCAGATACTTTACAAATACTGTGTCATTTAATCCTAACGCCTTTGAGACAGGTTGTCAGATGCATTTTACAGGCAGAGAAACTGGGGCTCTGAGAGGTTCATGTGCCCAACTGTTTACATCTAAGGAGTAGCAGAGTCAGGATGGAGACATCAACATTTCTATTCATATTTATCAATGTTGTCCTACCAGCAAGAATGAGGCATTTAAAAAAAAACCTTCCTTCTCTTTATGAAAACCGAAATGCAACTTTCATAAATAGTATCAACTACAAGTAATTTACTTAAAGGCAACCGAGCTAGAGAACTCATTTTTTAATGGGTTAATCTGAATCCTTATAGCTGATCTGACGAGAGAGCAAGAATATTCTGCAGTGTTAACTTGTTCCAGGCACAACCATAATTCTGGAAAATACTTACTCTTCGCTAAGGAAATCAAAGGCTTTGGATTTATCCCCAGGGAGCTGAGATAAGGTGCTGCTTCTTTTCTTGACAGAAGGAGTAACATGAGAAGTGGGTGCATTGTACTTTAGGTTAACAGGTGGTTCAGGCTTCTTAGTCGTATTACTTGAAGAGCTGAAAAGTCTGCTAAAACTAAAAAGAAAAAAGTGTGTGTGTTGTGTGACAGGCACTGCGAAGAACAATCCATGATCTTCCACAAACTTTTATGCTCTAGAAAATTCCAGAGTGCTTTTACAAGGCAATGAGTTAGAAGCTGGCAAACAGTTTTTGTAGTCACACACTACAGTCTTAGCAGCAACTCACAGCCAAACTCAGACATTCAGGGAAGAGAAACTACTGCTTAGAATGGCAGGTGCCTGTGCTTTAAATAGCAATTTCCATAAGTAAAGAAAAAAGCACTTGAGTACAGGGAACATTCTACTGAATGAGTAAAATAAAATGGTTCTTCTAGCTAGTTCCTACTTGATGCAATGCAAGAGTGGTTAAGCAGCAAGAATATGGCCGCATGATTTGAACAGAAGCTCAATAGGCCAGTTCTGAAAATAGTCTACTATAATACAGTACTCAAACACATATCATCATGCTAATACATATTTTCCTGATTAAGCACAACTTAAATAACTACTTTCATGTTCACTTAAAAAGAAAATCAATGCTTTTATTCATAGCAGAGTCACCAAAAAAGGGTAAGTCTTAACCACAGTCAACACAGTACTTCTGTAACAAACATAATTCAAGTCTAACACATACACATACTACTCAAAGCCCACGAGCACTTCTCATCTTCACTCTATAAAAGTTCCTTGCAATCACACAACCTTTGAATCAGTCATTGATTAATAAGGGATCCAGGAAATTCTCAGTTCCATGGATAACTCCCTGTTTTATTTAACCTGGCACAGGACCGCCCCAGATGCATAGCAACATGATGCAGCTTACAATAGCATGGTTTTTTGTCCTTGAGAACAGCCTTACCGAGCTGGCACACTACATGACCAAAAAAAAAAAAAAAAGTTCAATGTAGTTATTTGCCACCGATGTCTTAAAAATGAAAGAAAATGGACACAAAATCAATCTTGAAGATAAATTCGGACTGTTATCTTTTTTCAAAGTGCTGTCTAATGACCTTACTTGTTTTTCCATACTTACAACTGCCAAATGCTTGACCTTTTTTTTTCTTGCATGGCTGGATTTTCTCGTGATGCCCTACATTAAAAAGAAAGAAAGAAAAAGAAATGTGTTACCTAGAAAACTAGGTGTTCTAGCTTTCTACCTTTTTACTAAATGTTAAATCTGTAATTATTTTTTAAATAGAAACTAGGTCTTGCTATGTTGCCTAGGCTGATCTCAAACTTCTGGCCTGAAATGATTCTTCCATCTCAGATTCCCAAAGTGCTGGGATTATAGGTGTGCATCACCATGTCCAGTCCTAGTTTTGTATCTGAAGAACAAAGGACCCAAGAAGATCATGGGATACATAGGAGAGTCAGTAATTAAATTCAGTAAATACTGTACTTACTTTGACCTACCATGTGTCAGTAGTATTAGTTAAAGGTAATACTTCTAAGAAAAATAAAATATCATCGCTCCCTCAAAGAACCCAATCTACTGATAGAAGATTGTTATATGTGCTGGAGAGACAGCCAAAAGCCTGAATGACGATAATGATTATTTTTTGAGTTGAGGTGTCACTCTGATGACCAGACTGGAGTGCAGTGGCATAATGATGGCTCACCGCAGCCTCGAACTCCTGGGCTCAGGAGATTCTCTCGCCTCAGCCTCCCCAGTGGCTGGGACTACAGGTGCATGCCACCAAGCCTGGCTAAGTTTTTGTAGAGATGGGGGTCTTGCTATATTGCCCAGGTTGATCTTGAACACCTAGACTCAAGTAATCCTCTTGCTTCAGCCTTCAAAGTGCTAGGATTACAGGAATGAGTCACAGCACCTGGCCTAAAGTTTGTATGGAAAAGATATTCTCTAACTCTCCCTTTTATCAAAACATTGTCTTGTAAATCTCTGTCTTTACATAAGAGTCCCTATGCCATGTTCTCTAGGCTCTTACGAAATAGCTTGAACTTTACTGTTGTGATGGATCATTTTTCACAGGACTAAAACTTTTCCGTTACTGAAAGGATGCTGGGAAAGAAAGGATAAACTGGACTGACAAGTGATTCTATGAAATTTCAGAAAACAGACATTTCCAAGCTGAGTTAGTAAGGTGGTAAGGATTCTGCCATCATGACCAGAGTTCTCTTTTCACTTCTCTTTTAAGGATTAAATGTAGAAATCTTTTAATTCAATGAACATGTTAAAAGTAAGCTATTTTGTTAACTACTACTTGGCTGTTAGGTTGAAAAACAGAATGGAGGGGCCTGGTGCAGTGGCTCATGTCTGTAATCCCAGTGCTTTAGGAGGCCAACGTGGGAGGATAACTTGCGACCAGTAGTTCAAGACCAGCCTGGGAAATACAGCAAGACCCTTTCTCTGCAAAAAATAAAAAAACTTCTTCAGCCATAGGGGTGTGCACCTGTAGTTCCAGCAATTTGAGAAGCTGAGGTAGAAGGATTGCTTGAGCCTAGGAGTTCCAAGTTTACAGTGAGATATGCTCATAACACTGTACTTCAGCCTGGGAGACAGAGCAAGAATGTCTCTTTTAAAAGAAAGAGTGTAGTCTGCCTATATGCATTTAGTTTTTTGAATATTTATTCATAATTTATTTCATATCCACTAAGTACTGCAGTTAAGCACATGTTTCTTTGTGGGTTAATTTCCTTGCCCAATAAACAAAGATCAGACTATTCATCTCCTTCTGTCTCAGCATCTATAAGCAATGACAAAAGCTGAAAAATGTATTAAACAAAATGCTTTATCCTTGTATGGCATTGATAAAGGCCATATAAACTGGAATACATGCTGTAACCATAAGGAAGTGAAAGTTAGTAGTTAGCAAATATGTTCCTACATGATATGTTATTGTGTACTGTTATTGGCAAATCTGATATGACAATCCAAACCAAAATATTTGGGTAAATTAGGGGGCAACTTAATTTACAAACTTCTCATGAGCTCTAAATTAAAGGAATACTGTTATAGAGAATATGGCCACTAGGTGGCAGCATTCGGTGAGATTTAAGATCTGGTTGCCTGAAAGACGTCAATGGAATGTACAATCCACAGAAATAACAGAAAGAGGGAACCGGTGGGGCGCGGTGGCTCAGCCTGTCACCCCAACACTTTGGAAGGCCAAGGCAAGAGGATCACCTGAGGCCGGGGGTTCGAGATCAGCCTGGGAAACTTGGAGAGACCTCGTCTCTACAATAAATCACAAAAATTAGCCAGGTGTGGTAGCACGCATGTGTGGTTCCAGTTACTTGGAAGACAGAGGTGGAAGAATGCCTGAGCCCAGCAGGTCGAGGCTGCAGTGGCCATGAGTGTGCCACTGCACTCCAGCCTGGGCGAATGGACTGAAACTCCAACTCAAAAAAATAAAATAAAATAAAATGGGAACTAAAGCAAGAGTATTTCACAGGAAGACAATGAGTGAATATGATTTACTTTTTTCTGTTGCATATAAAACTTAGATTTTTCTCTTGACATTAGTGCAAAAGTAGCATCAATTTCTACACTCTTGAAAAATGACCAACATTGCTAAGTAATAACAATTGCCTTTCAAAGGTCATGGGAACATCCTCCCAGACCCCTTACTAGCCTAAAAGGCACCTACTTTGATCACATTCTGTTACTAATTCCAAGTGATACTTTAGAAACTATTCTTCCTAGTAAATAGAGTCAAGAGCATGAACCCCAAGGCAGGTCTTTAGTCCCGACTGAAGGAACATTCAAATCTACAAAACAATAGTAGAAAAACACCAGAGTACTTCTCATACAAACCGAATCATCTCTGTCCATCGAACAGCTTCTTGAAGCTCCATCAATCTCTCTTTGTACTGGTTTCTCTCCATGAGAACACGGGCCATTTCTACTCTAGTAAACCGCTTCCTCTGGGCTGTGGGAATATCACTCTGCAATGACGAGAAGATGATAGATCACTCTGGGAACCTATATATGTTTTGGTGTTAATTTCCGACTTATGCAAAACCTTTAAATTTTTAAACATTCCTTTATTTCTAATATAGGTGATCACTTAAAGAAAATGACCTTATAAAATGAAAACCAATAGGAGATTTAAATAATTACTTAAGACTTAAAAGATAAAAAGTAATTTAATATAATATATATACAAATATTTGAACATATTATAAAGGAATTACAAAAAATAGTGCAGATTTTGAACTAGAACCAAAAACGTCAGCTAGTATCTACATAGATACAATATGCTCTTATAGGGCCGGGCATGGTGGTTCATGCCAGTAATCCCAGCACTTTAGGAGGCAGAGGCGAGAGAACTGCCTGAGTTCACAGGTTCGAGACCAGCCTGGGCAACATGGTGAGATCTCATCTCCACAGTAAATGAAAAAAATTAGCTGTCAGGGCACGTTTATAATCCAGCACTTTGGAAGGCCAAGTTGAGAGGATTGCCTGAGCCCGTGAGTTCAAGACCAGCCTGGGCAACTCGGCGAGACCTCACCTCTACAATAAATCAAAAAATTAGCAGGGCATGGTGGCATGTGCCTGTAGTTCCAATGTATATAGTTCTAATTCATATAGTTCTCTCCATCTTGCATGTCTCTGGGTACAGTTCCAGCTGTAGTTCCAGCTACTTGGAAGGCTGAGGCAGAAGGATCAGCAGGTCGAGGCTGCGGTGGCTGTGAGCACGCCACTGCACTCCAGCCTGGGTGACAGAGTGAGACTCCGACTCAATAAAAAAATGCTCTTATAATTTCTACCTGGAAATGATGCTCTAACTTTGTTTATTATAAATAAACTGTATAAATATTTATTATGGTATTTAAATCAATAAATATTTATTATAAATAAATAAATCACAGGTTCCAATTCCTGGGCTCAGGTAATCCTTCTGTCTTGGCTTCCTGAGTAGCTGGGATCACAGGTGTGCGCCACTACACCTGGATAATTTTCTATTTTTTGTAGAGATGAGGTCTCACTATTTTGCCTAGGCTGGTCTCAAACTCCTAGGCCCAAGTGATCCTCCCATCTTGGTCTCCTAAAGTGCTGGGACTACAGGTGTGAGTAACCTCACTTGGTCACTAACATTTTTTACAATTAATGTTCTCTAACAATTGTCATTCAGAAAATAGCTACAAGTCAGTTCCAAAAGAGGTTCATTTATCTCGAAATACTAATCCATATACACACCCAATGTCAGCAAAAGGGATTTGTAAATGTATTGCCTAGTTACTAAGGTGCCTAACTATAAGAGTCACTAAAATACCCAGAGACATGCAAGATGGAGAGAACTATATGAATTAGAACTATATACATTGGAACTAAAATTCTTTTTCTTTTTTTGAGTCAGAGTCTCAGTGTCACCCAGGCTGCAGTGCAGTGGCACGTTCATCACCCTGCAGCTTCAGCATGCTGGGTTCAAGTGATCCTTCTGTTTCAGCCTTCCAAGTAGCTGGAACTATAGGCACATGCTACCAAACCAGGCTAATTTTTCAATTTATTGTAGAGTCGTGGTCTCGCCAAGTTGCCCAGGCTGGTCTTGAACCCCTGGACTCAGGCAATTCTCTCGCATCCGCCTCCCAAAGTGCTGGTACTATATTCTGGCTAGGAATTAAAATTCTTAAAGAGAATAAAGGATGTGAGTGAGTATGGAATAAGCATAAAGGTAAGACAGCAAAGAGGCATGCTAAAGTCAACTTCCTGCAGGCTTTTGTTAAGCACATTTTGGATCAAAACTGAAAAGTCTGGGACAGAAAGAAAGAGGCTGAGCTTAGCCTTCAGCAGTCTTCCTCCTTTGCTCTCTTGTTACAACATTTGGCTTCTCCTTTAAATAAAAGTTAAACAACAAATGATAAAGAACCTTAAGTTTGCCCCACAGCAATCCCACTCCTAGGCATATACTCTGGAAAACTCTTGTTCCTGTAAACCAGGAGATATGTATGATAATGTTTGTAACAACACCATTGTTTGTGGTAGTAAAAAGCTGAAGACAAACTATATATTCATTAACAAGAAAACAGATACATAAACTGTAGATGGTTCATACAATGGAATATTATAAAGCAGTGAACATGAATGAACTATATAGCACTATCCAACAACACAGGTGACTCTCAGGAACATACTACTGAGTAAAAGAAGCAAGTCTCCAAGACTAAATATGATACAAAACAATGGCAGCCATAAAAAAGAGTGAAATCATGTCTTTTGCAGCAACATGGATAAAGTCGAAGATCAACATCCTAAGATAACGAACTCAGAAACAGAAAACCAAACACTGCATGTTCTCTCTCTCATATGTGGGAGCTAAACCTCACTCATGAAGATGGAAATAATAAGATACTGGGACACAATAAGGGGGAAGGCGGAGAGGAGCTAGGTTCAGAAATTACCCACGGTGCACATTCACTATCTGAGGAATGGGCCATCTGAGACCCAATCCCCACCATTATGCAATATGTCCATGTAACAAACATGCATGAATCTAAAAACAAACAAACAAACAAAAAACATAAAACTATGAAAACTATCCTTCTTTGCAGGGAGGTGTGTGTGTGTGTGTGTGTGTGTGTGTGTGTGTGTATGCGGTCTGATAAAGTTGTTTTTTTAAGTTAAGCAAATGATAAATACAAGATAGTGGTTTCCTCTGGAGGGAGACGGCACAGAGTAGTGTCAATGTCTGGTAATGTTCTAATTCTCAGGCTGGGTGGTAGGTTCACAGTGTTGATTTATTATGATTCATAACTTACATATGTTATATATATTTTTGTGTATATCAAATGTGGTATTACAAGCACAAGGAGGTTAAGGGGATACCACATGCTATTCTGTCCAGGACACCCATATACTTTAAGTCTGACCTTTGGCCTGCAAACACCCATTATCATAACTAATGTGAGTATGCGAATCATACTGACAAGAAGCTCACATTTATTCTTTGGTGTTCACGTGTGCTCACAACCATATGGGCTAACTGGCTAGTCCTAAAGATCTAGACTTCACCTTTTTATGTTTAATACTATTACATAATTTTTATTAAGTTATCATATTTCTAAATCAAAATTTGAAACAAAACAACAATAATAATCACAACAACAAAATACAAAATGTCCTAGTTGGTCCTTGAAGTTGGAGATGCAAACACAGTTCAGAGCACAGAGCCACAGAAGGAAAACGGGCATGTCACATGCAGCTGGAAAGTTCAGCATCTGATGCTGTGTGGAAGCATAAGCTACCCTATTCACGACCATAAACACATCTTGTGACTTTTAAAAATCTTTACAATGCTATCTCCAAAGCTGACTTAGCAAGATCTTCCCAAAACATGGTAAAGTAAGAAAAAAAGCCCCAAACTGTAAACCTACATCATCATCATCTTTTGCTTTTTGCCTCGCATCTTCAGCTTCTGCACGAGCTCTAATGGGGGAAAAAAAAAACAAAATAAAACATGTTATTTGAATTGAGTTCATCATTTCAAAAAAATGGAAGAGATGCTCAACAATTTTAACTACCACTAAAGGATTATTTTTCTCTTCCACAGGACATTTAGCTGCCTTTTTTAGTGGACTATTACCATAGCACTATTTTCAGAAAAAAACAAGAATTAAGGAAAGCTGGGCAAAGGAAAATAATAAATGTTTTCATTTCCCTATTGTCAAAACAAAGATGTTTGGCATTCTCTAGTTCTTTTCACACCATGACAGACCAAAAAAACGCGAACACTTGGGCGGGCTCGGTGGCTCAGCCTGTAATCCCAGTGCTTTGGGAGGCCGAGGTGAGTGGATTGCCTGAGGCCGCGGGTTTGAGAACCCCCTGGGCAACTTGGCGAGACCTCATCTCTACAATAAATCAAAAATTAGCCGGGCGTGGTAGCGCATGCCTGTAGTTCCAACTACTTGGAAGGCTGAGGCGGAAGGATTGCTGGAGCCCAGCAGGTCGAGGCTGCGGTGGCCAGGAGCGGCCACTGCACTCCAGTCTGGGTGACAGAGTGAGACTCCAACTCAAAAAAAAAAAAATGTGAACACTGAGATGACAGGCTGGCAACTGAAGGGGCCTGATGGAGCAGAGCCTGGGCCAGGCATATCGCCCTCTCCCCGGCCTCCTCCAGGCCTCAGGGGTGGAAGGCCTCAGTCTCAGGGCTCCCCTGCAACCCTGTGTGGCACGACTGGCAGAAGGTTTGTCAGTACTCACTTCCTCAGCTCCTCCTCCAGCTCCTTGTTCTTTTCCTCCAGCTTCAGTTTGGCCTGTTTCACAGCCTCCAGCTCCCCCTGCAGCACACCCTTCTCACAGGTCAGCTCATCTACCTTTGCAATCAAATCATTCTTCACAACGTTCAGAGCATTTCTAAGAAACACATATTTCAAGTGCATCATTACAAAAATAAATATTCTTCCCATCTTTCAGTTTACTCTTTTGTAGACTAAAGCAACTATACAATCAAAAAGGTAGCTGGGCTCGGTGGCTCAGCCTGTGATCCTGCGCCTTTGGGAGGCTGAGGTGAGTGGATTGCCTGAGCCCGTGGGTTCGAGATCCGCCTGGGCAACTTGGCGAGACTTCATCTCTACAATAAATCAAAAATTAGCCGGGCGTGGTAGCGCGCGCCTGTAGTTCCAGCTACTTGGAAGTCTGAGGCGGAAGGATCGCTGGAGCCCAGCAGGTCGAGGCTGCAGTGGCCGGGAGTGGCCCACTGCATTCCAGTCTGGGCGACAGAGTGAGACTCTACTCAAAAAAAAAAAAAAAAAAAAAAGGTGAATAACTGAATACTTCAAGACATTCTACCTATACCATTTGTAGATAAAGGCAAAAAGAGCATGCAACATCAGTCTAAGTTGTTTTGTTACTCTTCTCACTTATCAAAGGAAGAACAAATGGAGAAAGCAAGACAGACCACCAATGAATAAAAAGTGAGACAGTCAGGTTAAATTTAAAAATAGCATTCATGACTGGATGTGATGCCTATAACCCTAGCACTTTGGGAGGCTGAGGTGAGAGGATTGCCTGAGCCCACAGGTTTGAGACCAGCCTGGGCAACTTGGCGAGACCTCATCTCTACAATAAATCAAAAAATTAGCCAGGTGTGATGATGCGTGCCTGTAGTGCCAGCTACTTGGAAGGCAGAGGCGGAAGGATCACCTGAGCCCAGCAGGTCGAGAATGTGGTGGCCATGACCAGCGAGCCACTGCACTCCAGCCTGGGCGACACAGTGAGATTCTGACTCAAAAAAAAAAGAAACAGAAAAAGCATTCATAAGGCTACTACTGTTGATAAGTTCAGAAAATATATTACCCAGTCCATAAAATAAAACTATTTCTGGAAGTTACTTTTTAATAACTAATGAGAAAACAGTCTAAACTGAAGGAAAAAATCAAAGGGCCAGTTCCTTTGGGTATAGTGGGCACTGGACCACCCTTATAGCTGCAGTCTGTCTTGGATATACACAGATGCTCCAAAGTTGCTGTGACACAGCAAATGGACAAAGGGGTCCAAATCTGCTGCTTTTCCACATGACTGAAGACCTGTTCTACCAAATACACTTGAGTAAGACTTTACAAATTGCACCCAAAAATATACAGCTATGGAAGAGAGCTCTGGAGAGGCAGGCTGGGTATAAATCAAAACATTTCAGCTACACGGAAGGCTGAGGCGGAAGGATCGCCGGAGCCCAGCAGGTCGAGGCTGCGGTGGCCGGGAGTGGCCACTGCGCTCCAGTCTGGGCGACAGAGTGAGACCCCAACTCAAAAAATAAAAATAAAAAAAAATAAAATAAATCAAAACATTTATGCAGAAATAAAAGAAATCCCATGTCAAACGTGGTGGCTCATGCCTGTAATTCCAGCACTTTGGGAGGCTGAGGTGAGAGAATTGCTTGAGTCCAGGAGCTTGAGACCAGCCTAGGCAACACTCTACAAAAATTAGCCAGGTGTGGTGGTGCACGCCTATAGTCCCAGCTATCTGCAAGGTTGAGGCAGGAGGACTGCTTGAACCCAGGAGTTTGAACCCAGTGCAAAAAACAGAGCAATGAAACCTATCTGTCAGGGCTATGTAGGTCCCATTACCTGTGTATGTGGGGTGTGTGTCTGTGTATACATATACATGCGGAGAAGGAAAAAGAGATGAGGTAGGGAGCGTGTGTTAGTACTGTGTTAAACTGATACGTCACTGAGCGGGACAAGACAAAAATTCTGTATCTTTTGCTCCTTGTTAAAATGTCACATATACTTACTTGGTTTCCAATAGTTGTGTATTTTCTAATATAAGATTCTCAACTTCACGACCCATTCCTATTAAAAGAGAAAAAATACAGACTGAAATTTATCAAAAATTATATTTTTATAATATAATAAGCTACAGTCACAAATTTTATTTTAGAAATTTTATCTATCTTTTCGCAATCTTATTCTGTCTATATATTCATTTGGCACATCTATTTGTATGGATTATAAAATTATAAATAATTATTCATCCAAAACAAGGCAAAGATTTTGTTGGTCGATTCTTTACATCTGCTAGTCTATATTTCATTTCTCATAGACAATATTTCAGAAGGAACAAGACATTTCTGCCAAATATTCTAACACTTGTCTAGCTTTATTTAGAGAAAAAACTAGCATTAATATGAATCAGAAATTTTTTCCCCCAGAAATTGTTTCCAAATTACAGCTGATACTGTAGGCCTAAAAATTAGATTTAGAACAGGCAGAAACAAGGTCAAAGAAAGACAGAACCCCAAGGCAGATGGAACCTTACCAAAGAAATTATGGTCTTAAAGCCCATGCATTCCATGTAAAGCAAAAACAAAGAACAAGAAATGTTTTACATAAGAAACAGCATGAAAACAGATTATTAATCTATAAAGTTTTATGCATGATATGAAAAACATCTGGAATCACAGTGTTATGATTTAATGCAAAATGAAGTGCAAAAGACAAATAAAGATGATTTCCTCTATTTATAAGGATGCTCTCTGATATATCTAAACAATGTTTTACCGATCTTTTCTCACAATAAAATATAATTAGAGTGAAAACCCCAAATCAATAATATAAACTGTCCTTTAAAGTGCCACCTAGGAAATGATAAGGTTATGTTGTCACTTGAGTGCCTGTGTTTAATTATATTTGATATTATAATGAATACTTTAAAGACAGGCATGTAGAACACTCAATACAAGATCCAGTGGAGTGGTCTTTACAGAGAAAAAAGCTATTTAATTTGCTTCTCAGGAGAAACAGAAGAAAAGAAACAACACAATAGGGAATACCACTCAAAAATACAAAAAACAAAACAAAACAAAACTCCACCAGTTACTCATCCCAGAAACTGTGAGCTGATGTTGGAAAATAACATACAATGGGAAAAGAAATGTTCATAACCCAGAAAAACAAAGTAAGTATTTCTAAAGAAAACTGCACACAGCAAAGGAGTTAGCATGCCCCTTTATTTTAAAAAAAGATAATATTCCCAATGACTCAAAAAGTACTTAAAACAAAACCAAACTAGGAATGCTAAAGATGCAGTGCCTACATATGAACTTTTCTCTGTATTATAATTTTTCCATATACTCTCAAAGACCAGCATAGTTCTATCAGGAAGAATTACATATCAGAAACCGTAACTTATTTAATCATCTATCTACATGTTCTGCACAGAGTAAAAAAATAAAAAAGTTTCCAGATTCCAACTCCAAAATGATTTTTGGCAAGATATTTGCTTTAAACACTAATGTTAACTTATTTTTCTTTGTAGACACAATGGCTGGAAATAATGTAAACTTTTTAATAAAGCTATGGAGACAGAAGAAATAGAGTTTAGATTGGTTGGGACAAGTTTATATAATAACTATGTCTGCTATAAACTCAATCATTTAGATAAGCATAAAAGCTGAAAATATATGTAGGGCAAAAGAAAGAAAAAAACCAAACAGTTGAGCAGAAAAAAATGATGAGAAAGCATTGAATGAGAACAGCAGCCAAGAACACCTAGCTTAAAAAGCAGTAATATTAAAGTATTCAAAAGCATACACACCAGAATATTCCCCTAGGTAAGCGGCCCAAGAGAAAAACGAATGAGAATCTTGATTAGATTGTTTTCAGAAAGCAAGAAGTAAACTCATTTATTTTAAAATGAGAGAGAGGAGACAAGGAAATTGAAAAGATGTAAAGAAACCATTAACTAAACACAATAAAGTATAAATATTACAAAAAGAGGAAAAAATGAAATATATGCTATAGAAGAAATCACATCCTATGACATAGTAGTATCTAAAGTTTACATTAAATGGACACATTCCCAATGAAGAGTTCTCTTAAAATCTACTGTATAAATTTAATATATGATCAACAGGATTATCCAAAATGGCTCATTTTGAAATATAGCAATAAAAACTAACTCCTTATAACTACAAAAAAAAACATAACTTGATGTGGCCTCCTTTCTGTTCAAGGCTTAAACCAAGCATAAATTTAGATCTAATATATTTGAAAATTTGACCTATTAAAAACTGCCTGGCAGTTTTTTAAGTCATAAAAGTCTCATTTGAATTTTAGTGTCGATTTTCAAAATAGGTCCACATATGGCTTCAAAGACACCTGGAAATTGCTTGAGAATGTATGTACCATTTTATCTAGTTCTTTGTGTGCATTTTCCAAAATGACACTGCTCTCTTACAAAATCTCCTGTGAAGGATTGTTTGTTTGTTTGTTTTGAGTTGGAGTCTCACTCTGTCACCCAGACTGGAGTGGAGTGGCTGCTCCTGGCCACCGCAGCCTCAACCTGCTGGGCTCCGGCGATCCTTCCGCCTCAGCCTTCCAAGTAGCTGAAACTACAGGTGTGTGCTACCACACCCGGCTAAATTTTTTGAGTTATTGTAGAGATGAGGTCTCGCCAAACTGCCCAGGCGGGTCTCGAACCCGCAGGCTCAGGCAATCCACTCCCCTCAGCCTCCCAAAGGGCGGGATTACAGGCTGAGCCACCGAGCCCGGCTTGAAGGATTGTTAATACCAAAAGGTGAAGAATCACAGATTTAGAGGTGAAATAAAACTGTTAGAACTATTTAAGCAATCCCATACACTTAATTGCTATCTGCTAAAGATGCAACAGTGAGCAAAAAATACAGCTGTTTTGACCACAATGTGCTTACAATCTATCCAGGGAGACAGGTACCAAAAAAGGCAGTAAGTAAAGGACGATGAGTGGCATAAGATGCAGGTCATGGGAATGCACTTCAGGGACAACTAGGCTTTAATTAGGGGCTCAAGTAGGTTTCCTGGAGGATGTATCATTAAAACCAAAGTAAGAAAAGCAAACATACACATGCAGCTAGGGGAGGGAACAAGCAAGCCTTGGTGATTGCATGTGAGGGAAAGCAAAAGGCAAAAGGCCTAGGCTGGAGAGTGGAGTGGCTAACTAGGCTATTCACGCACTGAGATGACACCTGTGGTGCCAGAGCAGCCTTGGAGGACAGGACGATAAAGACCGGGAGCTCAGCCTTGGGCGTGGCAAGTGTAAAGCCCTACAAATCATATGAGTTTGAAAATAACAGGGGCTCTGGAAGAAGTTCTAGGATGGAGATAAAAACTTCGGAGTAATTAGCCATGCAAGCCAAGAAACAACGAGAGCAAACATGGTTTCCCACACTGACAACCGAAAGATGAGCAGAGGAAGTGCGCCCGCTAAGATGACTGAAAAGGAAGAGGCAGAGACAGGAGAGATGGCAGGCAAGTCTGAGACCACAGAAGACCAGCATGGAAAGTCTGAAAGACAAGTGCGACGAGGAGTCATGTGACATAAGTGAGGCGGAACACTGGAGACCCCAAACAGGAAGGGAGTTTCAGGCACGGTGAGTGCAGGGGAGAATGACAGACTGCAGTAGGCTGAGGGACACTGGGAAAGGGGAAGTCCCTGCCAGTTAAAGTAGCCACACCTTCAAGAAGTGTGCTTTGCTCACTACATATTATGAGCATCTGGAACAGGGTCTGGTACACGACAGACAATTCACCAAAACTGTTGCATAAAAGTGTGACGGATAATGGGATGAGGGTCGGTGATAGGTGTAGGCAGTGAAGACACAGGGTCAGAGGAGTACAGTACTTTTATTTGTAAATGGAAAATACCTAAACATGTTTGAATGATAATAGAAAGGAGTTCAGAAGCATAATGGAGCTGAAAATCATTAGAAGAAAGAAAATCTCAATAGTATGTGTAAACATATTATTTCCAAGTTCTAGAATGGGCCCATGAGGAAGGAGAGACTAAAGTGAATGGAGAAGAAGGGTCACCAAAAACAAGAAAGTCAAGGGATAAAGATAAAGGACAAACCGTTGGGATTATCTCTGCTAAACTATTAAAATCAGAAACAAGTTGCCGTGTGTATTAGCCAGTGCCTGTAGTCCCAGCTACTTGGGAGGCTGCAGGCAGAAAGGATCACTTGAGCCCAGGAGTTGGAGGCTAGCCGAGGCAACATAGTAAGATCCCATCACACACACACACAAATTAATCTAAGTACTGAGTCCATGTATACTGTTTATAAGAAATATATGTCTTGGAACAAGCAAAGAGTTTTATAATAATATGGTAATTAGAAGAATGAATGTGTTATAGAAATGAACTGTGTACTTATTTATAACCCAAAGGTAATTAAGGAACCTCAGGGAATAATTTTATTGCTTATCTTTAATCCATTTAGTATTACCTCGATTGTTATCACTGAACTGAACAGAGAGGCCAAGGAGTGAAAATGTACCTTGGAAATTTCATTTACCATCTTTGACCGAAAGTATTTTTGTAGGTATAAGTCACTAAACTTAAATTAACATATTAAAATATTCTAATCTGGAATACTCTAGAGATAAATATATCAACATCTGCAAAATGAAAAGCATAGAGTCTATTTCTTATCTTCAAAGTTTAAAGGAAACCAAAGCCTCAGGATTTTACTTTTAATCTATTTATTATGCTTAATTTTCTGATTTTCAGAAAATTCTTGATTTAAAAGATCACAATTATTTCTAAGTATTACTTAGATTCTTAATTCTTTACAAGAAAATTTGAGGCCATTGACCTCGAAAATGAAATTACTCACTACTGAATTATGAGGCAACACATTGTACAAATTATACTCAAAAGTATTCATTCTTGTAAATACAGAGGCAGCATAAAGGAATTGTGGGAACGATAGATATTGATTCTGGTTTAGTGACCAATTCTGTGCATTTGTCAAAAATCAAAAAGTTGTATACCAAAAAGAGTGAATTTTACTATAGTGTACTGAATATAAATGTTTAAAGTCTTCTCACATTTTTTGCATCTGGCCCTCAATTTTGCCAGGAAGTCTGGGTTTTTGGTTTTTTTTTTAAGTCAGAGTCTCTCTCTGTCACCCAGGCTGGAGCGCAGTAGCACACTCATAGCCACTGCAGCCTTGACCTGCTGGGCTGAGGGTGATCCTTCCGCCTCAGCCTTCCAAGTAGCTAGAACTACAGGCATGCGCCACCATGCTCAGCTCATTTTTTTTTATTTATTGTAGAGATGAGGTCTCACCAAGTTGCCCAGGCTGATCTCAAACCCATGGGTTCAGGAAATTCTCTCATCTCAGCCTCCAAAGTGCTTGGATTATAGGCGTGAGCCATGGTGCCTGGCCAGGAGTCGGTTTTTTAAACCAGTTAAATCTTTTTTTTTTTCCCCTAAGTTGGAATCTCACTCTGTTGCCCAGATTGGAGTGCAGTGGCATACTCACGGCCACCGCAAAAGCCTTGACCTACTGGGCCCAAGCGATCCTTCTGTCTTAGCTTTCCAAGTAGCTGAAACTACAGGCACACGCTACCACGCCCGGCTTATTTTTTGATTATTGTAGAGACAGGTCTCACCAAGTTGCCTAGGCTGGTCTCGAACCCCTGAGCTCAGGCAATCCTATCACCTTGGCCTCCCAAAGTGCTGGGATTACAGGCTTGAGCCACCGGGCCCAGTTTTAAGTCAGTTAAATCTTAAAAGGAACTTTTCAAGTGTAATTTGATGTTAACTAAAATCAAAGTGCAAATTTAAATGTAAAAATTGAGTATTCCTTAAGAATTAATCTTTCCTAGCCCCATTTGAGAAATGCAATTCATTCCATTTTTTTCAAAGTTAGACTTTAATGGTGGCAGCCTCCTTATGTCTAATGAGGGAGGAATAGTTATATTTATATACTTTCAATCTCTCTTACTGTCTAGACAGAAATTTGGTTAGAACTTGTGTTTCCTTTTAAAAACATTTCACAATGTCAAGGACATAATTGGCAACTAATACATTTAACATAAATTACTGCAAGCAATGTCACTACACTCTGCAGTCATAAGAATTGACAAACAGTGCCTTTTGTGAACAATGTAGTATGTACTATAATTATACTAATAGAGACAAAACTTGTTGTAGTCTAGTATCTATTCCAAAGGCATAAATTTTTAATTCCATGTAGTTTTAAATTTCTGTATGGTGTTAAGTTATAAGAAAGGTATACCAAAGCTAATTCACATGAGTCAGAATCATGTGCTGAAAGGAATTTTAGAGTTAACCTAGTGCAGGGGTTGGCAACCTTTCTCTGTAAAGGGCCAGATGGTAAATATTTTAGGCTTTTTGCAGGCCACATGATCTGTGTTGCAAAGTACCCAACTCTGTTGTTGCTGGGCTAAAGCAACCATAGACAATAAGTAAATAAATGGGGGTGATCCATTTAGTGTTCCAATAAAATTTTATTTACACACACATGGGGTCAGTTGGGTTTGGCCCATGAGCTGCGGTTTGCCGGAACCCTGAACTATAGTCTAGCTCCTTCGTTTTGGCAAAGGTCACCAGATAAATAGTGGAAGAGGCAAATGTAGTATTATTTGCAAACCATGTGTCTTCTACAACACAAACTTTAAAATGATTACATTTCCCATAGAGCCAAAACATAATACTCTGTGAAAGCTCAGAAAACTCAACTGTTATAATTTCTTTTTTTTTTGAGTTGGAGTCTCATTCTGTCACCCAGACTGAAGTGCAGTGACCACTTCCAGCCACCGCAGCCTCCACCTGCTGGGCTCCGGTGATCCTTCCGCCTCAGCCTTCCAAGTAGCTGGAACTACAGGTGCGCGCTACCACGCCCGTTTAATTTTTGATTTATTGTAGAGATGAGGTCTCGCCAAGTTGCCCAGGCGGGTCTTGAACCCGCGGGCTCAGGCAATCCACTCACCTCAGCCTCCCAAAGGCATGGGATTACAGGCTGAGCCACTTACTTAATTGAAGTCAATAAAATTAAGTGAAATTTATTTAAGTCAGGAACTAACTTTCCATCAGTCCATACACACACACACGAATATCTATATCACTATGTTTCTTATGTGTAGTATCTGTTCTCAGAATATAGTGGGAGTTCAATAAATTGTGTCCTATGGATCCAAAATACAAATTGAAATGCATTCAGTTTTAGGCAATTCCATCTCCAAAGATGCTTTCATTTAAAACTTTCATGATCTCAAAGAATATGTTCCCAGTAATTACCTAGAAAGGGCAATAACCCTGTGCCACTGAGCAGTTAGTGACATTTTAGGGGAACTTTCAATGAAGTCATTTTAAAAACTCTGTTTTTGAACAGTATGATACTTCTTCAGATGCACTGTCATACCTAGTAAATCTGCTCCTTCATCCACATCTCCAATTAGGCCTGAGCCAGCTGAAGACAGTTCTTCAAAGAGAGATTCTGTGTTGCGATCGAAAGCTTTGTTCTCTATGCCTTTGGTGGGAGTGCTATGCAACAGAAACAAAACCAAATCAACATGGTACCAAGACTTTTTTGACAGGTAAAATAAGTACAACAGGCTAAGCTACTTAGGAATTCTTATCTACAATTTACGTTAATTACAAAATACAATTTAAGAATATTTCTCAAAGGGTGCCTAAGAAATTCCCAGTACACTCCACAGAGATAAGTGTAAAGAATGTTTTTGTTGAGATCCCAGCAAACACATACAATACCAGCTCTCTTCCGTCTGTGCCAGGAGCTAGTCTAAGTGCTTCCCACAGATTACCTATTTAATCCTAACAACTACTCTACAAAGCAGATGCTGCTAGTTCCTGGATTTTACAGATGGGGAAACTAAAGCGAACAGTTAAAGCATTCAGCCAGATCATTTAGCAAACAAGCGAAAGTGGCAGGATTCAAACCAGGCAGTCTAGTTTCATAGTCCGTGGATCTTAACTATCATGTATATGTTGGCTGGTATAAATCAGCAAGGTTTTTTTATTTTTCTTTTAAGAACAATTTGACAGTATCTATTAAAAATTAAGTGCAAATACCTACTGACCCAAGAATTCTATGCCAAATATGTTCTATAAAAACCCTGTCACAAGAAGGCAATTATGTATGTAAAGGATTGTTAGACTAGCATATTTACAGTGACAAAAGTTGAAATGAGCTAAGTGATCATAAACAGGAAACAGATGAAATAAGTTATTCATACAAAGTTAAAATCTTTAACTTTATGGCTAAAAACATTAAAATAGAGCTTTATAAACTAAATAAATTCATCACGCAAAGGTGTTTTTTTTTTTTAATTTAAGCAAGTTGCAAAAACAGTATATGTATTTTACACTCTTTTTTTCAGGGGTACGGAGGGGAATGGGGAAGTATATATGTTTATACCTTAAAGCCATCTCAATAAAAATAACTCTGCACCAAATTTTCAGTTAAACATGGTGGACTGAACATAGTCATTTATCATCTAATAATTCAGAAACCCAACTAAAAATGAAAGTTAAGAAGTTAAAAAGGTATATACCCCAAAGGACAAAGAGAAAAGAAAAAGAAACTACAACAGAAGAAATGTGAATAAAATTCTTTAAGACAGAAAACAGATGGGCAAACAATAGACATGGATTTAATAGACCAGAGAAAGCCGAAATCTAAGCCACTGGGGTTTAGGAGGGGGTCAGCATGCTGCCAGACTCCTGAAAGGTCTAGCACTTGAAGACATCAGCAACTGAAGCAGAAGGATGGGATAAAAGACTATACACGAGGCATTCGGAGACCTAGATGGAATCCTCCAGAACAGTGAGACCACCTTGCTCTCGGCAAAGCTCCCTGAACAATGAAAGCCAAGTCTAAATGTTATAGGCAGGAAACTGGAGAATTAAAGTTATTTGCTGAGATATGAGCACAGCAGGCACAAAGCAGACTTTTAAAGAAGACCTCTATCATAAGAAAGAACCCAAAGAAAGAGGATGTGACAGAGACACTAGGAATGAAAGGAGACAATGCAGACAGTAGCAACAACAGAAAAGCAAACAAAAAACATATTTGTATTTCAGAATAAATGCTGCATAAATAAACAGTAAGATGATATTTAAAAGTAACCAACCAATAAAAAGAAAAATAAATTGCAAAAAAATAAAATCAATGAGGGTTCAAAAATTTGACAAAAATTATAACAAAAATAGAAGAGATGAAAAAGAAGGGAAAAAAGAAATTATGAAGGCCAGTCCAGGATGTTCAATATATACCTAACAGGTGTTCCAGAACAAGAGTAACAGAAATAAAAATAAGGAGACAGAGTGAGAATTTCTCAGAATTGGAAGACATGAATTTTCAAATTAAAAGACTTTCTTCATATAAGATTAAAAAAAGAAGGCCCAACACCAAGGATAGCATCATTAATTTTTTTTTTTTTGAGTTGGCGTCTTACTCCATCGCCCGGGCTGGAATGCAGTGGCACGCTCACAGTCAGTCCAGCATCGACCTGCTGGGCTCTGGCGATCCTTCCACCTCAGCCTTCCAAGTAGCGGGAACTACAGGCACTTGCTACCACGTCCGACCAGTTTTTTAAATTTTATTGTGGAAAAGAGGTCTCACCAAGTTGCCCGGGCTGGTCTCGAACCTGCAGGCTCAGGCAATCCACTTACCTCGGCCTCCCAAAGTGCTGGGATTACAGGGTGAGCCAAAAAGCCCGGACAGCATCATTAATTTTTAAAAAAAAAAAAAAAAAAAACAGAAAAACAAGTGGGGGGATAAAGTGAAGATCTTAAAAGCTTCCAGAGAATACATACACAGAGGAACACCCTGAACTCAGCATAACAGTGAAGCAATGTCTTTACCATTCTGAAGGAAAAAAGTTTTACAATGTATAATTCCATATCTAGTCGAACTACCAAGTATATCTTTTCAAATGACACTTGTCACATTCAAGTTCACAGTGCTCAAAAAATTTACTTCTCATACACCCTTTGCCTAGAAAGCTAGCAAGGAAATGCTCTGTCAAAACAAAGGCATAAACCAGGAAGCAGGATGATGCTAGATTCAGGATACAAAAGATACAGGCATAGGAGAGAGGTGAAGGGAATTCCTGGGAAGATAGTGAGGGCATATTCCAGAACCAGAGCAAAGATGACAACAGTCTAGACTGGAGATAGAATTCCACAGGAAAGAGTCCCCTGGGAAATAGACAGGTTTCATGTGTGGTCCTACTGAGGATGTTTATACATGTAAATTACAGAGTATCTGCCAATGAATCTGTGACAGGTTCACAGACACATAAAGAAAAAAAACCCAAATAAAACAATCCAAAGCTTTTCTAATTCCAGAAGAACACAAAGTTGTAAAAGAAAGGAAATGCAATTACAGTCCATTCTATGGCTAAGCTGTGATTAATATTTATATGATCATAATGATATAAACAATAAATATTAACAAAAATTGAGATATAATTATATTGGGAGGATAAAAGATAGAAATATTCTCTTCATTTTCTACTGTAGAAAGTCAACAGTTAATGTCACTAAGGTACCCTTCATATTTGGTATTACCATTTGACTTAAAAACTGCAGACAGGCTGGGTGCAGTGGCTCATGCCTATAATCCCAGCACTTTGAGAGGCTGAGGTGAGAGAACTGCCTGAGCCACGGGTTCAAGACCAGCCTAGGCAACTTGGCAAGACCTCATCTCTACAATAAAAATTTTAAAATTAGCCAGGTGTGGTGGTGCACATCTGCAGTTCTGGCTACTTGGAAAGCTGAGGCAGAAGGATCACCTGAGCCCAGAAGGTCGAGGTTGCAGTAGCTATGAGCGTACCACTGTACTCCAGCCTAGGCAGACAGAGTGAGACTCCAACTCAAAAAAACCCCCAAAAATCCCTGCAGACACGCATTCATCTAATAAGGATAAAATTTAAACTTTAAAAAAGAGGTTCAGAGTCAGGCTCGGTGGCTCAGCTTGTAATCCCGCGCTTTGGGAGGCTGAGGTGAGTGGATTGCCTGAGCCTGTGGCTTCGAGACCCGCCTGGGCAACTTGGTGAAACCTCATCTCTACAATAAATTAAAAACTAGCCGGGTGTGGTAGCATGCGCCTGTAGTTCCAGTTACTTGGAAGGCTGAGGCGTAAGGATTGCCGGAGCCCAGCAGGTCGAGACTGGTGGCCTGGAGCGGCCACTGCACTTGAGTCTGGGCAACTGAGTGAGACTCCAACTCAAAAAAAAAAAAAAAAAGAAAAGAAAAAAAGAGGTTCAGGCAAGGTGTGGTGGCTCATGCCTATAATCCCAGCACTTTGGGAGGCCGAGGTGAGAGGAATGCCTAAGCCCACGGGTTCAAGACCAGCCCAGGTAACTTGGCAAGACCTCATGTCTACAATAAATCAAAAAATTAGCTGAGCATAGTGGCGCATGTCTGTAGTTCCAGCAGCCTGGAAGGCTGAGGTGGAAGGATCGCCTGAGCCCAGCAGGTCGAGGCTGCAGTGGCCAGGGGCATGCCACTGCCCTCCAGCCTGAGTGACAGAGTGAGACTCCAACTCAAAAGAAAAAGAGGTTCAGAATGACAAAAGTATATAAACTGCCAACAAATAGCTGTAGCTCCTAGGCTTAGAGGAGGGTGAATAGGAGGCAAATTTCACTTTTCAGACTACAGTTTTTACATTTTTAAATAAACAACAAAGGAAAAAATACTTTGTCAGGACAAAGCCTTTGAAATCAGAGTCCTAGATTTGAATCCTAGTCCCTCTTGCTGGCTTGGTAATCTTAGACAAGTTACTTGGATAAGTTCTAAGTCTTCTTATCTGTAAAGTAGGATGAAGACATCCACCTCAAAAGGTTGTTAATTAAAATCAGATTACACAAAATAGGCCAAGTATGGTGGCTCAAGCCTCTAACCCCAGCATTTTGGGAGGCCAAGGCAGAAGGATTCCTTGAGCCCAGGAGTTTGAGACCAGCCTAAGCAACACAGCAAGACCTCAGTTCAAAAAAGGCATCACAGTCGCAGCTACGATGGAGGTTAAGACAGAAGGATCACCTGAGTCTAGGAGGTAGAGACTGTGGTGAGCCATGATTGTGTCACTACACTCCAGCCTGGGCAACAGAGATCCCAATTAAAAAAAAAAAGATTACATAAAAACAATGATATTGTTAACAGTTATTGAATGGGGCACTTTACTAATGATTTAATATATGGAGATTCAATTAATCCTCACAACTATCTAAGGTATTAACATAATGTCCATTTATAGGCAAGAAAACATACTGAGATTTGAATCTGAGGCAGACCACTACAGCATAGAGCACAATGCTTAGCAGAGATCAATAAATGACATGGCTCCTTATGGTCATTATTAATAAAAGATTAAAATTTATGGAAGAAATTCAAAGACAGGCAGTAGCTCCTGTCTGACAGACAGTCTTGAGCATCCATATTTCATATGACCCTGATTAAGATGATATCTAACCTGCCACTAGACAGTCATCCCATGTAAAATGAGACTGATTTCTTCCAACAATGAGATCATTACAGTTCTGAAGGGAGAACTACATTCTCTTCTTCCTGATCTGGAGGAAGGAACAAAGTTTGTTCAAATTCTTCCTTTACTCCTGTTTCTTTATTTCTCCATGTTACAGAAAATACGTCTTTTTTTTTTTTACCCATCTGCTGTAGTTTGAATGCATCCCATCCAAAATTCAGGTGTTGCCAATGCGATAAGAGGTGGGGCCTTCCAGAGGTGATGAGGCCATGAGGTCCCTTCCCTTGTGAATGGGGTTGGGTTCTTTATAAAAAATGAGGTTTCACCTAGAGTTCAGGGCTCGCTTGTCCATCTGCCATGACACAGAGCTCTTCTTCTCCAGGAAATGCAGTAACAAGGCATCCACTTAACAGCAAAGAACAGCCCTCAACAGACAACCAAATTTCCCAACACCTTGATCTTGGACTTCTTAGCCTCCAGAACTATAAGAAAATAAATTTCTATTTTTTTACAAATTACCCAGTCTCAGGTATTTTGTTATAGCAGAACAAAACAGACTAAGACCCTGTCCTTCCCATCATGCTGCTGACTCATGATTGCAAAGGTAACATTTCACAAAAAATTTAAACCATGTATAATGTCCACTTCCATAATAGAAACCGAAATATAGTACCAACATTTCTTTAATGAAACATCTGAATTCACTCATTCAGAGTCCAGAAAACAGTGTTGGTGGAAGTGAGAGAAAGGAAAATTAGATGTCTTAATCTGACATTTATGGTACCTTGAACCTTTATATCCACTGAGATCTTTGTCCATATCCAACTCAGGAGTAGATTCAATGATAGCTTGAACTTCTGACTTCTCTTCATTTTCGGCAGAGCCTGAGGAAAGGACATAAGGAAATAAATAATATATTAAATAGTGCCTCCAATATAAAGATCCAGTTGTATTTATGGCTGTGAAGGTATCATTTGAACATAAAAAATGTAAAAGAGCCGGGCTCGGTGGCTCAGCCTATAATCCCGCGCCTTGGGAGGCTGAGGTGAGTGGATTGCCTGAGCCCGCAGGTTCGAGACCCACCTGGGCAACTTGGCAAGACCTCATCTCTACAATAAATCAAAAATCAGCCAGGCATGGTAGCACGCGGCTGTAATTCCAGCTACTCGAAAGGCTGAGGCGGAAGGATCGCCAGAGCCTGGTAGGTCGAGCCTGCGGTGGCCGGGAGCAGCCACTGCACTCCAGTCTGGGTGACGGAGTGAGACTCCAACTCAAAAAAATAAATAATTAAATAAATAAATAAATAAATAAATAAAGAGTGAGTTATAGGAAACACACTATTAGATAATACTGAATATAATAATATATTCAGTTCACAGTGAATATCAGATACTAATAAGCAACCAAAGAAAGTTTGCCTTTGTATTTCTTGGGACACAGTGCAGTTTATCAAAGGCCCCGCATTCATTCCTATATATAGGGTAGAATATAAAGAAACTAGCGATAAAGATTAATAAACTAGCCATTGCCTTGCTAGACTCTGGTGTGTCCATGTGCACTCTGAGCTATGGCTCCTTGGGGAGGTGAATCTTCTCTCTCCCTTTTCTTCTCTTTTCTTTCTCTCTCTAATTTACTTTTAAATAAACTATATTTTCTAATCTAATGCCAGCCCCTGTCTGTGGGATGTGATCCCTTTCTTAAATAAATCTTTTCTTTCTTTGACAAAAAAAAAAAAAAAGAGAAAATAATTCACCCAAACTTATAGGTTATTGCTGTTTGTAAAAATATGGTGGAAAGCCGGGCTCAGTGGCTCAGCCTGTAATCCCAGCACTTTGGGAGGCCGAGGCAAGTGGATTGCCTGATCCTGAAGGTTCGAGATCAGCCTGGGCAACTTGGTGAGACCTCATCTCTACAATAAAACAAAAATTAGCTGGGCATGGTAGTGCGCACCTATAATTCCTGCTACTTAGAATGCTGAGGCAGAAGGATCTCCAGAGCCCAGCAGGTCGATGCTGGGGTGGCTGTGTGTGTGCCACTGCACTTCAGCCTGGGCAACGGAGTGAGACTCCAACTCAAAAAAAAAAATATGGTGGAGAGGTCATGCCTGTAATCCCAATGTATTGGGAGGCCAAGGCAGGAGGATCACTTGAGCCAGGTGATAGAAACAAATGTGGACAAAGTAGCAAGACCCTATCTATAACAAAAAAAAAGTGAAAAAAGTTTCTTGGGTTTAGTTCCCCATCCTTAGATTAGCAATAATAGAGGCTTTGCTCTTGTTTTTTTCTTTTCTTTTTTTTTTTTTGAGTCAGGGTCTTACTCTGTCATCCAGACTGAAGCACAGTGGCAAATAAAAAAAAAGTTTAATAAACTAAGGTAGGAGACAGAACTGTCCTGCTTTTCAGGCTCTCTGAGCTCCCAGCTCCCAACATTTCTCTCCAAGAGTTTAATCATTACCTCCTTTAAGTTTATTTACAATTGAGTACAATGAATTACAGTCATCCCTCAGTAATCCATGGGGAACTGGTTTCAGAAATCCAATACCACCGGGCTCGGTGGCTCAGCCTGTAATCCCGCGCCTTTGGGAGGCTGAGGTGAGTGGATTGCCTGAGCCCGCGGGTTCGAGACCCGCCTGGACAGCGAGACCTCATCTCTACAATAAATCAAAAAATCAGCCAGGCGTGGTAGCGCATGCCTGTAATTCCGGCTACTTCGAAGGCTGAGACGGAAGGATGACTGGAGCCCAGCAGGTCGAGGCCCGGCCACTGCACTCCAGTCTGGGCGACAGAGTGAGACTCCAACTCAAAAAAAAAAAAGAAAAGAAATCCGATACCAAAACCTATAATGTTCAATCCCTGATATAAAATGGTGTCATATTTGCATATAGCCTATGCACATCCACCGGTATACTTCAAATCATTTATAGATTAATCATAATAAGCAACACAATGTAAATACTATGTAAATAGTTGGTATATTGCATATCTAGGGAATAAGGACAAGAAAAAAGAGTATGTATATGCTGGGTACACACAAACCATCATTTTTTTGTTTTGTTTTGTTTTGTTTTGAGTCAGTCTCACTCTGTTGCCCAGGCTGGAGTGCAGTGGCAAGCTCAGGGCCACCGGCAGCCTCAACCTGCTGAACTCAGGCAATTCTTCTGCCTCAGCCTTCCAAGTAGCTGGACTACAGGCATGTGCTATCACACCCAGCTTATTTTTTGGTTTATTGTAGAGGCAAGGTCTCACCAAGTTGCCCAGGCTGGTCTCAAACTCCCGAGCTCAGGCAATCTTCTCACCTTGGCCTCCCAAAGTAGTGGGATTACAGGCTTGAGCCACCATGCTCTGCTGTTTTTAAAAATTGTTTTGATCTGCAATTGGTTGAATTCACACATGCGGAACCCACAGACATGGAGGGCTGACTATATCTACCTATTTTATAGATATAAACCAAGCAAACTCCCAAAGACATATTTTCTTATACCTACATCATCTGGGCTTACTGAGTACTTTACTAGTAAGTAAAGAACTAGGGTCACTTACCTGTAGATGCATTTCTAGTTTCTTGGGCTACCTGTACTTCAATGTGCTTGCTTATCTCAGATTTGTTTGGTGTATCTGTAACCTTCAGGAATCCCTCATTATCCTCCTTTAAGGGAGTATCAGTAGGAATTGTTGCCACATCTGAATTAGCTGTTGATGCTGGAGTGGTAGCTTTAGAGCCACCTTGGCTAACATCAGAAAGTTCATCCTACAAACAAAAATAATGAAGAAGAAAATTTTAGCCAAGTTAGTTATTCTAAGCCACTTAAAAAATGGGTAAAGAGAAAAGCTGGGCGTGGTGGCTCATGCCTTTACAGACTTTTACACATTGGGAGGTGGAGGCAAGAGGATAGCCTGAGCTCAGTAATTCGAGATTAGCCTGGGCAACTTGGCGAGACCTCATTTCTACAACAAGTAAAAAATTCGCCGGGAGTGGTGGCACGCACCTGCGGTTCCAGCTATTTGAAAGGCTGAGATGGAATGACCACCTGAGCCCAGCAGGTCGAGGCTGCTGTGGCCATGAGTGTGCCCCTGCCCTCTAGCCTGGGTGACAGTGAGACTCTGACTCAAAATAATAATAATAATAATGATAATAACAGTAATAATAAAAAATAAGCTGGGCATGGTGGTTCACACCTGTAATCCCAGCACTTTGGGAGGCGGAGGTGAGAGGACTGCCTGAGCCCATGGGTTCGACACCAGCCTGGGCAATTTGGCGCGACCTCGTCTCTACAATAAATAAAAAAAATTAGCTAGGCAGGGTGGCGCACACCTGTAGTTCCAGCTACCTGGAAGGCTGAAGTGGAAGGATCGCCTAAACCCAGCAGGTAGAGGCTGCTGCGGCTGTGGGCATGCCACTGCACTCCAATATGAGTGACAGAGTAAGGCTCCGACTAAAAAAAAAAATACAAATGGGTAAAGAAATAAACTTGCTCAGAGAAAGTTCTATTAAAAAAAAAAAAAGACAATAAAGAGTCACTGATTACCAAGAGGCAATCTCTCTAGACTGTTAATTGGGAATATTTAAGTAAACCATATTTTTCCAGACATACATGAGATTTTTTTTTTTAAACAGAAAGTAAAAGTAGATTAGAAGTATTAGGAGCCGGGCTCGGTGGCTCAGCCTATAATCCTGCTCCTTTGGGAGGCTGAGGTGAGTGGATTGCCTGAGCCCGCGGGTTTGAGACCTGCCTGGGGAACTTGGAGAGACCTCATCTCTACAATAAATCAAAAATTAGCTGGACGTGGTAGAGCACGCCTGTAGTTCCAGCTACTTGGAAGGCTGAGGCAGAAGGATCGCCGGAGCCCAGAAGGCGAGGCTGTGGTGGCCGGGAGCGGCTACTGCACTCCAGTCTGGGTGACAGAGTGAGACTCCAACTCAAAAAAAAAAAAAAAAAAGGAAGTATTAGGAAGAAGACATTAATGTTAACATCAACTTTGTTTTGTTTTGTTTTTGAGGTGGAGTCTCACTCTGTTACCTAGGCTGGAGGGCAGTGGTATGATCATGGCCACCACAGCCTTCACCTGCTGGGCTCAGGGGATCCTTCCGCCTCAGACTTCCAAGTAGCTGGGACTACAGGCACACGTCAGTATGCCTGGCTAATATTTATTTATTTATTTATTTATTTAGTGTAGAGACAAGGTCTCATCAGTGTTTCCCAGACTGATCGTGAACTCCTGGGCTCAGGAAATCCTCTCACCTCAGCCTCCTAAAGTGCTGAGGTTACTGCCATGAGCCACCACACTTGGCTCAAGATTGTTTTTTTTTTTTTTTTGAGTTGGAGTCTCACTGTCACCTAGACTGGAGTGCAGTGGCCTCTCCCGGCCACCGCAGCCTCGACCCACTGGGCTCTGGCGATCTTTCCGCCTCAGCCTTCCAAGTAGCTGGAACTACAGGCGCGCACTACCACGCCCGGCTAATTTTTTAATTTATTTATTGTAGAGATGAGGTCTCGCCTGCCCAGGCGGGTCTCAAACCCGCGGGCTCAGGCAATCCACTCACCTCAGCCTCCCAAAGGCGCGGGATTACAGGCTGAGCCACCGAGCCCGTCTCAACATTGGTTTTTAATGGCAGTTGTAATATTGTACAATTACTTGAAAATAAAGACCTATTTTGAAACACTTAGAACATGTACTCTGTAGTAGCTGCTCTAAAATAGAAGAATAATCAAATTCTTAATCTCAGGATAGTTCTGTAAAGTGCCATCTTAAAATATCCTGGATCGGGTACAGTGGCTCATGCCTGTAATCCCAGCACTGTGGGAGGCAGAGGCAGGAGGATCACTTGAGTCTAGGAGGTCGAGGCTGCAGTGAGCTATGATTGTGTCACTATACACCAGTCTGGGCAACAGCAAGACTCTTGTCTCTAAAGAAAAAAAAAAAAAAAAAAAACAGAAGGGGGACAGAATCTAAGTCCAACTCCAGACTTTGTGCATCAAACTTTGAGCAGTGAAATCAGGTAAACTGCATTTTAACAAGCAATCCAGGTGATTTATATATTCATTAAAATGTGATAACATCTATTCTAGAGCTTAAAGATAGGTTCATTAAGTATGTGCAGACTGAAATTGTAAGTAAAAATTTGTGTATAATGTATTTTTCTGGGAAAAGAACCCATTCTGTGGCTCCAAAATAATTGAAAACAGTTGTCCAATGGTTACTAAGAATGAGGCAGTTGTTTTGCAGTACCTAGATCCTATGAAAAGAGAACCTACAGAGTGATTTCCTAGCCACAGGAAACAAATACATAATAAAGAAAAGAGAACCTGACAAAAAGTTTACCACCACCACCACAACTAATGAAAAATAATTGGCCAGGCATGGTGGCTTTAAGCCTGTAATTCCAGCACTCAGGCCGAGGCAAGAGGATTGCCTGAGCTCAGGAGTTCAAGAACAGTCTGGGTAACTTGGTGAGACCTCATCTCTGCATAAATCAAAAAATCAGTCAGACGTGGTGGCACACGCCTGTGGTTTCAGCTACTTGGAAGGCTGAGGTAGAAGGATTGCCTGAGCCCAGCAGGTCAAGGCTGCGGTGGCTGTGAGTGTGCCACTGCAAGCCAGCCTGGGTGACAGAGTGAGGCTTCAACTCAAAAAAAGAAAAAGAATAATGATTAGAGTAAATTCAGTGAATTTACCATTCACTGAATGTATGACCTTGGGTAAATTATGCCTGTACTCCTATACCTATATTTTCTCATCTGTAAAATAGAGATAACAGCACCTACTTCATAGTTATTTTATATAATGGCTTAGCAATGTGTTTCACACATACTAAATATTTAAAACATTATTACTTACAACTTATAGCTGTAGTTATAACTACTTGTATAATTATGCATATAAAATTATAAGTGTAAAGTATTATTATATTCGCTATGGAAAATGGAGAGATCTTTATCCCTTCAACAGTTCCCCTATACCCATCAAGTCTATCTCAAGCATTATTTTTTATTTTTTAAAAGATGAGAAGTGTAGAAAGTCAAAGAATATGAATGGCACACCCATTGTAGATTACTCTTTAAAAGACTCTGGAGTATCTGGGCTTTATAGGTGGGCTTGGGCTCTAACATATGTATAAAACTCAAGTGCTCACTGAAGACTTTCACCCTAGTAAATCCCTGCTATCCTAAACTTTTGACAGTTTATATTGTACTTGTATGATAATTGGTCTGCCACTGATTATTTTATGGCTCATCATTATTTTAAGGAACACACAGATCCATGACAGTGATCCATTTACCAAAACCGAATCACTTCTGAGATTCTGAATCTATAAAAAGAAAAAAAAAGCAGTATATCCATGTTTGAGTACAACACTTACTTAAATAAATTTTCAATGACAAAGGAAAATGCTTATATATTAAACTGCAAAAAATATGTACACATTCAAAAAAATAATCAAATATGTATACATGTGACAGTAAAAGATGTACACATATAACAGTTAAAACTGGAAAACAATCAAATTCTTAGAAGTCAAGAGTGTCAAGAAGTCAAGATGGTTGCCAGGGGCTGGGGAAAGGGGAAAATGGTGAGTTACTAATCAAAGGGTATAGTTGTAGTCAAGCAAGGTAAGTAAGGTCTAGAGATCTACTGGGCAACACTGTAACTATAGTCAACAATAACACATTCTAAAGCCAGGTGTGGTGGCCTGTGCTTGTAGTCCTAGATACTTGGGAGGCCAAGTTGGGGGGAATCATTTAAGGCCAGATATTCAAGGCCACCCTGGGTAATACAGGGAGAACCCCATCTCTTAAAATAATAATAACTATAATAATAATAATAATGTGTTGTACACTTAAAAAAATTTTTTTTTTGACTTGGAGTCTCACTGTTGCACAGGTTGGAATGCAGTGGCACGCTCGCGGCTACTGAAGTCTCGACCTGCTGGGCTCAGGTGATCCTCCCACCTCAGCCTTCCAAGTAGCTGGGACAACAGGTGTGCAACTCCACACCTGGCTAATTTTTTGGATTACTGCAGAGATGAGGTCTCGCTATGCTGCCCGGGCTGGTCTCGAACTTGTGGGGTCAGGTAATCCTCTCACCTCAGCCTTCCAAAGTGCTTGGATTATAGGCATGAGACACCACATCCAGCCTACACTTAAAATTTTAAGAGGGTAGATGTCATGTTAAGTGTTCTTACAACAATAAAATAAATTGCAAACAAATCAAATGCCTCTATATAGGAAATTAAGTAAATCACAATAAAAAGAATATTATACAGCAATTAAAAACTGTGTTGTAGAAGAATATTTACTAAGATGGAAAATATTCATAATATTTTGCAAAGACAGTGGGGATTAAAATAGTTTTATACAGTATAATCAATTTTAAAACTATCAGAATATAAAATGATATATGGTATGATCCTAAACTTTTTTAAAAGGCACGTAAAGTAACTAAAGGGAGCAAATAAATTTTTTCCTGCTTATAATACTTTTTATTCTTTCCAAAATTTTTGACAGTAAGCATGTGCTACTTTTATGATAAGGGAAAAAGCAAATACATTCTAAACAAATTTGAATATAACTGGATGAAATTATCTTTTGATTTGGGAGAAAGTTTTGAGAAACAGAAAACCATTCATACCATTTATGAATTTTGGATTACCCATTATTGGCTTGTGCTTAAGATAATTCTGATTATCTATCATCTGAAGTACAATACTAACCATATGTTAATAAAATTATCCAAACTGTACAGCCAATTATTTTCTTCTGTGCATTTCATACTAGGCTGATTTCCAGTGAGAAGGAATACAAGCCAAAGAAATAAACTGTTCAATTCTCCATCACCTCCTTCCCTCTTGAAATCAAAAAATGAAATTTCTGACTATTTTCTTGAGTTGGTGACTGGCACCTAATACAGAAGTATCTGATACAAATCTACTAAGTCCAGCAAATTAGCTTGTTAGGAGTTGAGTCAGAGAAAGTGACAGTGATACCTCTGGAGCTAAAAAACTAAAGTGATGACAACCAGTCTCTCTGAGCACTAATCTCTTTCTCTTTGCTTTGATGTATACTCTATTAAAAAATTAAAGTGGTCTTATTTTGAGTAATTTAACAGCCTGGTAATTCATGTTTATGTTATCTGTACACGAATCCCCATTCTTTAATGGTTTAGAATATAACACACACTTTAAAGTATAAAATAAATAGTCCATGTTCCTGATAAACAGTGTGGATGGAAGCACTTAAACCCATCAACGCTGTGGATTCAGAAAGCTCTAGAGAATATCAAGTTCTTCTATACTGAGAAAGTGATGCCTTTGAAGCTATTCAAAAAATAAACAGCTTGAGGTCAATCTTGGACTTGTTGTTTATCTCTTAAAAGTCAAGTAGAGAAATTATCTCTTCTTCCCCCTTACCATTCCAGTCTCCCACCCCTAAAAAAGGCCTGGTTAGTTTTACCTTAAGAAAATTTGTATTTAGTAATCAGAGTTCACATATATAGTTTGCAAAAGCCTATCTCCCTAAATTCATTCATGGATCTAGGAGCATGAAATAAAGTAACCAGGAGAAAGCCGATCCTAAAGTGAAAAAGGACTATGATACCTCAAGGGATCACAGTTTCAGGCTATAAGGAAGTGGTAAAATTAAGTAACTTAGAGGGAAATGATGCTTTCAATTTGTCCTAGGCTATCCAAATAATATGAGATTTATTTATCTGTAACTGATTTCCCTTTTATACTTACTACACAAAATATTTTACACTCTTTAAAATAGCTCACTATGTGGGTTGTACTTCTGACAACTGGATCTAAGAGATACAGCATGAGAGCCGAGAATGGAAACGCTCTGATTTTAGGGGATAGTTTTCAAAAGAGGTAATTCTCCTTGGTCACCCAGGCAGTGGCAGAAAAGCACTTAGAGGAAGCCTGCCACAGCACTTGGTTGGGAGCACAATATTCCTGCTATCATGATACCTGACTGCCTTGACTAACATTGAATGAAGAAAGACAAACTTAAACATCAATTTGTTAAAAGATAAAATACATTACTTTTGGCCAACAACATGCTCAAAGAAAATACTGCATAATGACATGTTGGTGAACAGCAGAGAGCATGTAGCATAGATGATGACGGTCCCCTAAGATCACAAAGGAACTGAAAACTATCACCTAGTTGAATGCAGAGCCGGTTGTAATGTCCTGGGGTAACACATTTACATGTTTGTGGTGAAGCTGATGTTAACAAACCTACTGTGTGGCCAGGTATACATAAGTACAGCACATACAATTCTGTCCAGTATATAATACTTGATAAGGATAATAAACAACTGTTACTGGTTTATGTCTTTACTATACTTTCATTTTTTAATTATTATTATTATTTTTAGTTGGAATCTCACTCTGTCGCCCAGACTGGAGTACAGTGGCATGCTCCCGGCCACTGCAGCCTCGACCTGCTGGGCTCCAGCGATCCTTCCGCCTCAGCCTTCCAAGTAGCCAGAACTATAGGCGCGAACTACCATGCCCAGCTAATTTTTGATTTATTGTAGAGACAAGGTCTCGCCAAGTTGCCCGGGTGGGCCTCGAACCCACGGGCTCAGGCAATCCACTTGCCTTGGCCTCCCAGAGTGCTGGTCTTATAGGCTGAGCCATCGAGCCTGGCCTTTACTATACTTTTTATTGTTATTTTAGAGCCTCCCCTTTGGGAGAAGGATAAATCATGATTATAGTAAAGCCCTAGCAACCACGGTAGAGGAAATCATTTTCTTTTGTATTTTAGTGAATAACATCAAGAGTCTTCCAAACTGAGCATGTGATGTCTTGAGAGTAGCAGTTGAGGAAGTAACCAGCAGTTAATTGCTTTTGTGTACTTTTGCAAAATGCTTTGAAACACCATTCTCACCTCCTGTTCTACAGCCTTCAGAGGTGCAGGACTATTGCTGACCTGGGAAGAGGGAAAGATTATAAAAGAGAAAAAAATTATGTACTTACTAAGTTTTAACATATTTTTATCTTCGGCTTGTACTACCTCCCAGGATACAAGATTCATCTATCTATTATCTACTATGCTTAAAAGGAGGATTTTGGAGACTTTGTAGTGTTCTGACTCAAAATAACCTCCTGTAAGACTCTAATTTAGGTGACATGCTGGTCTAGAAGCCCTCATTTGGATCAGCTGTCTTCCATTATACTTATCGATAAGCAGCTCATCATTTAGCTCTTTTTTCTACTTACGCGCCCTATAAAATCTTCCTGATATTTACTCCAGTCACTCAAACCATTTAACACATGAATAGATCAGTGTAGTAGAACTGAAAACACCTATTTATTCATACTCTTTACTTCTATCTGTACATTTTCCTTCTATAAAACCAGTGTTTCTCTTAAACACAAAGGGCAACCTCAAGTTTTATATACTCTCGGTCTGGAAATTCATCAAAGTCTTTTTTAAAAGTTGCTAGCTCTCAGTTACTGCCCTTAAAAAAAAAAAAGTCACAGATGAGAAAGGTATAATTCACTCTATAGAAACCTGAAACCAGATTGTCTCTTCTTTTAATAAATTTTATTTTATTTTAAAGGTGTGGGGTAAAGTAAGGTTGAATTACACAAGCAGGCTGCATGCAGGTGGAGTTTGGGCCTCCAACTAGTCCTCACTCCTCCTGGTATGGTACCAGGTACCCTTTGTGCTGTTACATGTCTCCCTCCTTCTTTAATAGACTTTCTCCTAGCTTTGAGGTATAATTAACAAATAAAAATGATATATAGTTAAGGTGATGTTTTATGTACACTATGAAATAATGACCACAATCGAGCCAATTAACTTCAGTACCTTGTGCAGTGACTTTTTTGATGATGATGAGAGCACTTCATGTTTATTTATATGATCTTTGATTCTGAATTTTCATCACCTGTGACCATTGTCAACTGTTCATTTCACCAAAAACTAGGTAAAAAACTGGGTGGCTTTCTTTATGTAAAAGTAGAATGACTTTCGAGATACATTGTTTGTTTTTGTTGTTTGTTTGTTTTGGAGTCAGAGTCTCACTCTGTGGCCCAGGTTGGAGTGCAGTGGCATGCTCATAGCCACAGCAGCCTCAACCTGCTGGGCTGCTTCAGTTTTCCAAGTAGCTGGGACTACAGGCACACGCCACCATGACTGGCTAACTTTTTATTTTATTGTAGAGATGAAGTTTCACCAAGTTTCCCAGGCTGGCCTTGAACCCCTTGGCTCAGGCAATCTTCTTGTCTCAGAGGCTCCTAAAGTGCTGGAATTACAGGCATAAGCCACCATGCCCAGGCAAGATACATTGTTGGGGGGAGGGGAGAAGCAGCAAACTTCAGGAAAATATAACATAAACCCATTTACTTTAGCAAGACATGTGTTATCTATGTGCAAATGTAAAGAAATAGGTCTTAAGGATATATAACTATTTACACGACAAGGAAAGGAGACAGAGTTACAGAAATTTTCCATTTTTAGTCTATTCTTCAGTAGTTTTAAAAATTGTGAAACTGAACTAATATAATTTTTTTTTTAGACACAAGGTCTTGGCTGGGCACAGGGGCTCACACTTGTAATCCCAGTGTGGCATGAAACAAGGAGTTCGAGACCAGCCTGAGAGATACATCAAGACCTTGGCTCTACAAAAAATTTAAGAAAATTAGCCGGGAGCAGTGGCACATGCCTGTAGTTCCAGATATTTGGAAGGCTGAGGCTGAAGGCTCTCACCTGAGCCCAACAGGTCAAGGTCATGATGGGCCATGAGCGTGCCACTGCACTCCAACCTGGGCAACACTAAGATTCCAAATCAAAGCGTGCACGCACACTCACACGCGCATACACACCCACACGCGCGCGTACACACACACACACACACACACACACACACACACACACACACACACACGATCTTACTCTGTTGCCCAGGTTGGAGTATAGTATCTATTTGCAAGCACCATCATAGCACACTGAAGCCTGGAATTCCTGGTTTCAAGCAATCTTCCCACTTCAGCCTCCCAAGCAGTAATATAACTACTTAAAAGAAATTAGAAAGCATTTGGACCTCTGAGCACCATAACAACATTTCTAGTACATAGCACTGTGCCTAACACAGTGAGCATCAATAAATAGTTTTGTTTTGTTTTGTTTTGAGTTGGAGTCTCACTCGGTCACCCAGACTGGAGTGCAGTGGCTGCTCCCGACCACCACAGCCTCACCTGCTGGGCTCCGGCGATCCTTCCGCCTCAGCCTCAGCCTTCCCAGTAGCTGGAATTACAGGCATGCGCTACCACACCCAGCTGATTTTTTGATTTATTGTAGAGATGAGGTCTCACTGTCCAGGCGGGTCTCAAACCCACGGGCTCAGGCAATCCACTCACCTCAGCCTCCCAAAGGCGCGGGATTACAGGCTGAGCCACCGAGCCCAGCAATAAATAGTTTTTAAAACAAGATAATTTTCTCCAACATAAAATATTTAAAACAACTTTTCCATTCTAAAAGCTTGCTCAAACATTAAACATCAGTAAGTATTAATAAATACCTACATATCAACTTCAAAAGAAGCTACATTTGAAATATGAGCTTTAAATACCAACATTTTCAAATTTTTCAATTTTTTTTCAATTTGTATTTTCAGAATACATAAGCCTCTTGGTCAACATAAATATGCCAAAAAGAAAAAAAATTCCATTTATAAACATCTACTAAAAACTAATTCCATTCCTCCTTCCCCAAGCAAATGTTTAAAAGGGGAGAAAGTACAAAAAGACTGAAAGCACAAAATCTTTATCCTTTTTACCCTTCAGGCCATAATGACCACCTATGGGTGGTTCCTTGTTATCAAATGAAGATACAAGCGAGGAAAAGAGTCTATATGCATTGAGTCTATAGAACAAACTCCTTATTCACTGTCACAAGCAAAAATAATATGAAGTATTATAATATACAAACCATTTTTTAATATTCTACTTTTATTTCGCCCTACTGTATATGCTAATACAAAAGTCTATAAGGAAGTAATACAGATCATAAACTACTGGAAAAATCCAGCCCCAGCATCAAAGAAAGAGAATGCCCAGAAGCAATCACATTCCAAGTAATAAATATACTTAGTGCCTAGATCTTGGTTCCCAAATACCATTCTCCCAAAAAATGAGCCAGAGCTCCTTGGAGAAGTAGTCCATTTTGTAGTGTTGGGGCAGGGAAAATTTAAGAGCATAGAGCATTTTATGGTACCAGGAAGAAAGAAAGTACTCAGAAAAGAACGGGGCATGTCAAGAGGCCAGGAGCCAACCTCAAAGAGCTTCCAGTATCCAAAGCCGGAATGTCTGAGAAACCTAAGAAATGATAGGTTCTGGAAAGCCCATAGAGTAAAAATACATCCACTAAATCCAAATAGGAAGGAGGAAAAAAGGACACCTCTCCCATAAAGAATTCCAACTAATAAATGTAGAAAGATGAAGAAAACAGAAAGCAACCATTAGCAATATTTTACTAATAACTGTGGCAGGCAAGATCCACCGGTGGATGATAAAAATCCGTGGACAAAAGTTTGAGGAAAAACAGAGCATCCGAATAGCCTTAAAGTATACCATCAAGATACTTTTTAATTATAAAAGGGAAAATAGTAACTTTAGTGGAAAAGTCCGATACATATTAGCTGAACTAAGCTATCAAGTTAACTTTATCACTAATAAGACACATCGACATTATTTATCCTCTGATATGATGCATTAAAAGGCTTAAGGCTTCTGTGGTATTCTTGTCAAAAACACGAGACCTCAATCTAATCATGAGAAATCATTAGAGAAGCCTAAACTGAGAGATGTTCTTCAAAAGAACTAACCAGACTCTTCAAAAGTCTCAAGGCCATGAAAGACAAGGAAAGACTAAGCAACTATCACACACTGGAAGAGACTGAGGAGACGTGACGACTAAATGCAATGTGGGATCCTGGACTGGACCCTCAAATAGAAAACTGACATTAGTGAAAACATTGGTGAAACCCTACAAATCTGTAGTTTAGCTAATAGCATTATACCAATGTTAATTTCTGAGTTTTGATAATTGTGCTATGGTTAGACATCAGGGGATGCTGGGTGTGGGGTATATGGCAGCTCTGCATTATTTGTGCAACTTTTCTGTAAGTCTAAAGTTACTTCAAAAAAGGTTTTTAAAAACAGAGCTTTAACTGTTAAAAAAAAGTTTTAAAATATACATGTATTTTATAATAGGAATATTTAATAACATATAATACAGAAATATGGTTCAACTACTACAAAGATCCAAGCTCGTCAAAACTAAAGGAATTAAAGGAATAGGAACTATTTCAGAACTTAATCACAAATGGAGGAGGATGGAAAATTCTTCCCAACAAGAATGCTGGCTCTGTTTTGACACTTCCTGCTCTGTATGCTAAGCACATCCCCTGAAGAATGCAGCACACATTGACCACTGGCTTTACATACCAAACTCTGCTAACAAGAGCTTCTTAGAGCAGTGCTACAAGTATTTCAAGTCATGTGATTTTAAAAGAACACTTTAAAGTTTACACAAGTAGGTACCTATCCAATTGCTTCTCAGCTAGTTCAAATTCTTTTTCTCAGTTCTAAAACTCATATTCAACTAATAACCAATAACCCAGGATATTCTTCAAAGAAAAAATTAGTATTTGCTTTTGGAATAAGTATACACATGCCTCTGTGTGTGTGTGTGTGTGTGTGTGTGTGTGTGTGTGTGTGTGTAATCCCATCCTCATAATTTTCATGCAGTTTTCCAGCCTTGGCTGTTATTACCACAGCCTTATTTGCAATGGTGAAAGACAGGGAAAAGTGAAAGTCTCTTGTCAATGAAAATGAATTGAATTACAGTTGGGATATGTGATCCCTTTCCTCTGCCCATCTTCTAGGATTCTGATGTATCATTATCTTTCTTCACTCCCTGGT